GGGGATAGAGAAAGTTCATTAGATTAAGCCTAAAGAGTGCTAAGAAAGAGAAAGAAGAAAAAAAGAAGAAAAGAAGAAGAGAAGAAAAGAAAACGAGAAGAGAAAGAAAAGAAGAAAAGAAAATGAGAAGGGAAGGGATGGGAGAGGAGGAAAGAAAAACAGGAAGAGAAGAGAAGAGAAGAGAAGAGAAGAGAAGAGAAGAGAAGAGAAGAGAAGAGAAGAGAAGAGAAGAGAAGAGAAGAGAAGAGAAGAGAAGAGAAGAGAAGAGAAGAGAAGAGAAGAGAAGAGAAGAGAAGAGAAGAGAAGAGAAAAGAAGAGAAAAGAAAAGAAAAGAAAAGAAAAGAAAAGAAAAGAAAAGAAAAGAAAAGAAAAGAAAAGAAAAGAAAAGAAAAGAAAAGAAAAGAAAAGAAAAGAAAAGAAAAGAAAGAGTACTGTTCCTGCAGAGTTTAACAGCCCTCAGAGTTAATGTGGCAGCCACAAGCTGGTTTTTCAAGGCTGCAATTTTGGAGTCAGGTAGTGGACTGAGACCAAATGGGTGGCAGGGGCAGCCAGCTGGTCACTCCATACTCAATTTCTTGGTTTTCATGCTATTTAACCCCCAATTATGTCCACCTGCTCTTAAAGTAAAGCAAGTCAAACTTGGAATTTTGAATGAAGTGACATCCCTGTACAGGGAAGGTGTTTTTTGTCACAAATCACTGCAATACTTGGGCTTATTCACCAGTGCAGGCTCAGGCAATGTTCCCTGGGTTTGTGGTTACATTTAGCCCAGAAATAGGTGAGATCAGTTCCCACGAATGGCTTTGCAGGGAGGTGAGGGAGCTGCACCCAGAGGTGGTGCAGCAGGGGAGGGTCTTCTCCTGGGGTCAAACTGAGATGATATCAAGGTGTTACTCTGGCAGATGGAGGAATTTGAAGTATCTGTCATCTCCAACAACACACCAGATGTCACTCACTCAGTGTGACCTCACACTTGTGCCTGGATTCAGGAAAAAACACATCACTTAACAGTCCAAGTCTCACAAAAAGCCAGAGGATTTCCTAACTTAAATGCTGCCATCAGCTTCAGCCTCAGTGCCCCAAATTTATCCATCCAGCTGACTTTTTCCCAACTGGTTTAAGCACTCACCTCACCCAAACTTAAGAAATTCAGGCCTTATATCTTGCTGAGACTGCAGTAAGAGCAGGACAGTGACACTGGAGAAGATGCTTTGTCCCAAAAATACCTTATGGACACAGTCCTAACCCTATAAATCCCCCTCATGTTCCCAAATACCTCCTTCAGTGCCTCTGAGACCTCGAATCTCACTGCTTAAATGTTTTTAAAGCCCTTCCTCTCCTGCCCCCTCAAGGCTCCCAAACTGCTTGGTCATGTTAAGGATTAAAACCAGCACTAAGGTTGGGCAGGTTTATAAATGGATTTCAAAACTGAGGGTGTTTTAAAACTAATTCTCACAAGTTACAATCAGGAGAGAGAAAGCAGACAGGGAATATCCATCCATCCCTCCCAGTAGCCCCTGGTGGAGCTGTTGGTACCAAACCAAGCTCGTGGCAGCTCTGAGGGGTGTCTTGGTGTGTTTTACTCCCAGGATGTGCCAGTCCCTCTCTCGCAGTGGTAATTATAAAAAAAATACCAAACGGGGCATCTGTCAGTGAGTAATTACAGGAAATATCATCCTGCTCCTGTGCTGAGTCTGTTCTGGAGAGAGGAACAAACCTGAGCCGTCTCCAGCAGCTCTTGTGGAGCTGCCAAGGTGAATGACACCAGAGCCAGGGACAGGCAGCTCTGGGCTGGGACTGGGAATGAGGAAATCATTTCATAAATGTCAGCTCTTGTCCTGGATGTCTGCAAACAGACTGCAAGAGCTTCCAAGGGCCCAGTTACACGGATTTGGTGCCATTTCCCAGTAACTTGGAAAGCATTCCGAGAGAGGAGCCTGTCTCTTCATTATTGGATTTGTTCTTTTTTATGCTGCCTATCATTTACTGTAATAAACACCAAAGGAGGGCTATTAATCATAGAGAATGAATTTAATACAGTGCTGCAGCTCACACCCTTGCCAGTGCTCTGAAAGGTCAAAGGAGACTTGTGTTCCCTGTGCAAAACAAACAATATTCAGTAGTGCAAATTAAATTGGGAGGAAGGGATGGAAGAAAGAAATTCAAATTACCTGGAATAATATTAATGAAGGAAGTCTCTCTTCGATATTTGCTTTTGCTGTGACTCAGATCCTACTCCTGCAAGCCAAAAATTAACTTCATCTTATGGGTATGCTTGCAAAGCTCCTGCTGTGTGGCCATGGGGCGATGGTTTACAAAATACAGATAGTTTTTCTAACAAAACCACTGTTGCAGAGACACCAAGAGCAGGGAGGGAGCTCAGAGTGCTGGATGTCAGCACGGGGGGAGGCAGCAGCGAGGAGTGGCATTGTCTGGAGCGATGCTGGGTATCCACAGGATTCCCAGGTGCTGCCAGAGCAGGCACAGTCCACACGGACCCCTCGTGCCATCTGCTGGCAGCCGGGCTTAGGATGGAGCAGGAGAGAGCAGGGTTGCCCAGGGATGCTGGAATACTCACTGGATGAGTGAATTCTCCCACTCCCCCAGCCGGGCAGTGCCTGTTCCTAGAGGGTAAATCCCCTGCACCACCCCTGCGTGCCTCAGTCCGGGCTCCCAAAGCCCTGCCCGGCAAAGGAGAGCTGGGCCCGGTGTGAGACACTTCCTGGGAAATGAGCTGTAAATACCTAAAGAAATCAGACATTTCTGAAATGTAGAATCATAGAATCATCCAGGCTGGAAAACACCTTCGTGATCATCAAGTCAAACAAGCATCATCCTGTTCCTTGTTAAATCTTGTCCTCGACTGCCACATTCAAATGGGTTTTGAACATGAATCCGTTGCTGAGATTGATTATTAATAAAGCAAAACACCCAGGTTTTGGGGCTCCTGTTGGCAGCACCTTGTGTGTCCCCACCCAGCAACTCCTGCTGTCCCAGGGCTCTCTCATAGTGAAGAGGGTCCCAGTTACACCCTGGCACTGGGGGAGCACCCACCAGGCTCTTCCCACTGGGGCACTGCCAAGCTTTCAGTCAAGACTGTGAACAGCAGGAGGGTCTTGGGACATGAGCATGGAATCCTGGAATGGTTTGGGTTGGAAGGGACATGAAAGATCATCCAGTCCCACCCCCTGCCATGGGCAGGGACACCTTCCACTAGCCCAGGTTGCTCCAACCTGCCCTTGGAACTTCCAGGGATCCAGGGGCAGCCACAGCTTCTCTGGGCAACCTGTGCCAGGGCCTCCCCACCCTCACAGGGAAGAATTTCTTCCCAATATCCCACCTAAACCTTTCCTTCATTTTAAAGCAATTCCCCTTTGTCCTGTCCCTCCATCCCTTGTCCCAGGTCCCTCTCCAGCTCTCCTGGAGCCCCTTTGGGCCCTGGAAGGGGCTCTGAGGTGTCCCTGGATCCTTCTCTTGTCCAGGTGAGCACTCCCAGCTCTCCCAGTCTGGCTCCAGAGCAGAGGGGCTCCAGCTCCTGGAGCATCTCCATGGCCTTCTCTGGATTCATTCCAACATCCCCAAGATGCTCGGTTACAGCTCAGAAATGTAATGAGGGAAGGACTGCAATTAAAAATAACAACAATATTACAATGAAATATATATACATACATATATATATATATATATAAATTAGGAAGACTGGACCTAAGAGTGAAGGGAAATGATTCCTTCCCTCCTTTGTTTCCTCCCTCCTGATTCTGAATGTTTTTAGTGATATTTTACACAGCACTGAGGAGGAGACAGAAACACTTGTTCTGTTTGAAAAATGCAACCTTGAAGTAGGGCAGAGAGACTGGTTTAAAACAAAAGATCTTTTATTGTCTTCAACTGAAGAGGGTGATACAGAGGAACTACACTTATTTTCATCATATAAAAAAAAAAAAGAGAGCCCTTTATTTACACAAAGTGTTCAAAGCTGCCAATGGTTCCTAACAACAACTCTGTATTTTCCTTGTATTTGTTAGTTATTCCCACCTGGATGGAGCAAACATTGGTCAGTAACACTTAGGAAAACATGTAAGAAGCTTTTGGGCAGGAAAAATAAGGATGATGTTTGGAAAGCAACGGGCATTTCACTGTAACAAACCCACCAAAATACTTACAACCAGTCACTGACTAAAGGAACAGTTTTCAGTAGGGGCTCAGCAGCCTTATCATTCTCAGCCTGTCTTTTATGTCCCCATCTAAATATATCCTGGACATGCACAAACTCAACATGGATGAAAAAAAAAAAAGGTAGAAATTTATTTAAAAGTAATTGTGCTTTTATTTATAAAAAAAAAATTTACAATCAGACACTGTCCTGCTGTGTTTCCCAAAGCATGGTTCTCTTCAAAATGACAAAAATGTAGCTTATTATTATTATCATTATTATTATTATTACTCTGTCTTTATATTAATAATATTAATCTTATGCTTTAGTTTAAAATCATACTGTTTTCCCCTTCCCATCCCCTCCTCTGTGGTACTTGATATATATATATATAAAAAAAGGCTTTCAAACGACCGACGAATTTCCATTATAACTAATAACAATAATAATAATAATAATAATAATTATTAATCTTACACCTTTCTGTGTGTAAAATATGGCTGGTTCTAAAACAAACTACCAACGTACAAAGCTGTTCTCCCTCCCCTCCCCCTGGGCCACCCGAGAGATACTCAGAGAACATGGAAGAACTTTGATCCCAGAGCCTTTCTGGGGGGGGGGAAAAAAAAATAAAAAATAAAAATAAAAAATGAATGACCCCAACATCCAACCCTTGAGATGGTTGTCTTTGGTGTGGAGGACGTCACCGGCGGGCAGCTGGAATGTCGGAGCCGGGAGATTTAAGGCCTGGCGTCGGGAACGCCGCGAAGCCTCCGCGGGGCCGCGGGTCAGCCGTGCCTGGGGACGCTCCTTGGAGCCCCCCCAGCCGTGCCAGAGGATGTCCCCACACCCCCCTGTCCGTCCGTCCGTCCGTCCCCCCCGCCCCCTGCCCTCCCCGGGGCTCTACGCTCGCTTCCGTCGGCCTTCCAGGTTCCGGAAGCTGGAGGGTCTCAGCTTCATCTCTGCAAACTCGATGGAGTACTCGTGGCCCTTCCAGTGGAACCAGTTCACGCCCTGGGGAGGAGAGGATGAAGAGTGGGAGGTCACACGTTCACTGCTGTTGTCGGGTTTGGTGCTTTCCCTTCAGACTGAGGTTGTTTTCTGGTTTGGGCACAACAAGGAGGGGCTTTGGGGAGCCCAGGGAATGTACAACCTGTCCAGACCCACCCACAGGCTGTTATAGAATGGTTGGGGTTGGAAGGGACCTTAAAGGTCATCTTATTCCACCCACTACCATGGGCAGGGACACCTTCCACCAGCCCAGGTTGCTCCAAGCCCCGTCCAACCTGGCCTTGGACACTCCCAGGGATCCAGGGGCAGCCACAGCTTCTCTGGGCAACCTGTGCCAGGGCCTCCCCACCCTCACAGGGAACAATTTCTTCCTAATATCTGCTCTAAACCTCCTCTCTGTCAGTGGGAAGCCATTCCCCCTTGTCCTGTCACTCCAGCACTTGGAAATAGTCTCCCTCCATCTTTCCTGTAGCTCCTTCATGTCCAGAAAGGCCACACTTAGATCACTGCAAAGCTTCTCCTCTCCACGCTGAACAATCCCAGCTCTCCCAGCCTTTCCTCCCAGCAGAGCTGCTCCAGCCCTCTGATCATCCTGGTGCCTCCTCTGGACTCTCTCCAGCAGCTCCATGTCCTCTCTGTGCTGTTCCCCAGGGCTGGAGCAGCTCTGCAGGGGGGTCTCACCTGAGGGGCAGAGGGGCAGAATCCCCCCCTGCCCTGCTGCCCACACTGGGGGATCAGCCCAGGGCATGGAGGGTTCTGGGCTGGGCCATGTCCAGCCTCTCCCTCACCAGCACCCCCAGGTCCTTCTCCCAGGGCTGCTCCATCTGCTCATCCCCAGCCTGGATTAACCCAGGGGTTACCCTGGACCAGGTGCAGCACCTTGAGCTTGGTCTTGTTAAACCTCTGCCCCCCAGAGCTGTCCCTCCTTGCCTGGCTTTCAGGGCAGGAAGAACATTTTGTTTCACATGTTGAAAACTCGAATTGTTCCCTGCACATTGGGATATTCCCTTGGGAAATCAGACAAAAACCATCAATATTTCAACAGCTGATGTTAAATCCTTATTTTGTGAGCAACTGCCCGTATATTTCTCTATGATCCTGGAGAATGGGTTGGTGCTCTGATATCTGGCTGAACCATCAGACAGATCCATTATTGCAATTCTCCTTTTTCTCACGGATTACAGAAGCTTCCAACCCCAGACTCACCTGACTGTGGCTGTTGTCCCCGTATCTGCCCATCAGATTGACCCGGTGGCAGTTCTTGTACCAGAAAGCACCTTTGTATGACAAAGCACAGTTGGTGATGGCAGAATCATGGTCCTTGTCAAAGGTGGAGAAGGACCTCCCGTTGTGGTAGGTCATGGAGTCACCTGGATGGGAGAGGTGAAAGAGCAAGGTCAGTGTTTTGCCTGGTTTTTCATGGGAATGCCCAATCTGGAGCAAATGTTTGGACTGTGCCATGCACTGCCTAAATCATGAACGTGTATTTAAGTTTTTAAAACTGGCCTTGTTTTAATACAGAAGGAAATACACAATTTTTGTCGTCGCAGGCAAATCAAAATATTTTTCCAGGTGGTTTCCAATCCCAAACATATCAAGTGGGTTTTTGTTTTTATGCAGCTCAGTTGGAAGTTGGATTTTGGCCCCGTACAGTGTGGACAGAGCAAGTCACAAGGAGGGAATCAAGACCAAAGGAGTCTCCACATTGATCAAACCCTACTAGCTGTAGCAGCTACTACCAACCTGCACCAGTGTATTTGCCTTAAATCAGAGAATCTTGGAATGGTTTGGGTTGGAAGGGACATGAAAGATCATCCAGTCCCACCCCCTGCCATGGGCAGGGACACCTTCCACTAGCCCAGGTTGCTCCAACCTGGACATTTGCAGGGATGGGGCAGCCACAGCTTCTCTGGGCAACCTGTGCCAGGGCCTCCCCCCCCTCCCAGGGAAGGAGTTCTTCCCAATATCCCACCTAAACTAAACAGACATTAATTCTCCTGCTGCATATCCTTTGTATCTCTACAGTCTGTGCATGAAGTTCCTGTGCTGGTCACAGGGCAGAGCCCACACACATCCCTGCACCAGCAGCGTGAAATTATCTCCTTTTAAGACAGGTTGTGAAACTGGATTTATCTCTTAATCCTCTGAAGCCCTGAAGAGGACTCAGTAAGGGCTGCAGGGTTTGCCCCAGCATGATTACAAAAGGCAGCTGATTTGTTCAGCAAAATTATAAATCATGTTATAGCAGGACTTTGCTGCAAATTCTACTGACAAGGAATGAGGCTGTGCCAAGCTATTATTGGCTGTATAAACGACAGTCAAGATTGGCCAAATGAGATATACTGTGGTTTAATATACTTGTTTAAATGCTGTCACAAGCATGGCATGAAATGTGGCATTGAAATGACTGGAGGATTTAAAATGGAAACATAAAATATACTGATATTTTGGAACACCTAACACAGAGGAGGTACCTGCTGTGATGGTGATTATCATACACACAGTTACCATGAGCCAATGGGGAGAAAATCATAAAGGAGAAGTAAAACAATCAATATCATAGAGGAGAGTCAAGATTGGCCAGATGAGATACATACTGTGGTTTAATATACTTGTTTAAATCCTGTCACAAGCATGGCATGAAATGTGGCACCAAAATGACTGGAGGGTTTAAAATGGAAACATAAAACACATTGATACATCCCCATTTTCAAACACCTCACACAGAGAAAAGGTACCTGCTGTGAACTGATCAACACACCCATAATTACACTGAGTCAGTGGGGGAGAAATCATAAAATGAGAAGGGAAAAAGATCAATATTTGCTCTCACCTGCTGTGCCACTGTACCCATCCACTCTGAGGCGGTACCTGCTCTTGGCATCCCCCACACTGAACCTGTCATAGACAGCATAGGCTGTGTCCCCCTTGTCCCTCAGGTCCACACGCAGCTCGTACTGCCCCTGAGAAGTGATTTTGTGCAGGTTCTCCAGGCCTGTGGACAAAAAGGAGCAGTTTGCTTGTCTCCCTGTGTTTGTTTCTCTGCCATCCTGTCGTCCCACAAACGGGCTGCACAAAGAAGGCAGGGCACAAACACTGGGGAGGGAAGTTCAGCTGGAGGGTGTGGTGTCAGCACAAAAGCAAATAAATAAATCCAGGCTGACTGAGAGACCCCTTCCCTTTCAATAAACAATTCCCTTTCAATAAACAACTCCAGGCTGACTGAGAGACCTCTTAACTTGCAATCACAGGAGCAGGAAGCTCGTTGGGAAAAGCATCCAAAGTCGTGCTGTGCGATCATCGTTGTCTTTCATCGACAATCAAATAAAATGCAGCACAACCTTCAGAAATGTGTTTTTTTTTTTCACTTCTATTTTCCAAAATGTTGGTTTTCTACCTCTGTTTTCTCTGCTTGGCTTCTCTGAATCAGAAGCACAGTTTGTTTGTCCTTCTGTGTTTGTGTCTCTGCCATCCCATAAACGGGAACAGAGTGGGCTGTAGAAATAAAGCAGGTGAGGACTGAACTTTCAACACTGGGGAGGAAAGTTCAGCTGGAGGGGGGTGCCAGCACAAAAGCAAATAAATAAACCCAGGCTGACTGAGAAAGCTCTTAACTTGCAACCAGAGAAGCAGGAAGACCATTGGGAAAAGCAACCAAAATTGTGCTGTCTGATCATCATTGTCTTTCACTGACAACCAAACAAAATGCAGCACAACCTTTGAAATGTGGGGGTTTTACTTCTATTTTCCCAAAATGTAGGGTTTTTACTTCTATTTTCCAAAATGTGGGGGGTTTTTACTTCTATTTTCCCAAATGTGGGGGTTTCACTTCTATTTTCCAAAACCTTGGTTTTCCACATCTATTTTCCGTGCTTGGCTCCTCTGAATCACAGGGTTTTGCTGCTGGGGGTGTCCCAGGAGCACAGGAAGAAGGTGGTTTGCAGTTGCTTCTCAGGTCACCTGTGATTTCTTCCAGAGCACCAGTGGGCACTGGGTGGGTACCTCTGGTGACCCAAACATGACATCTCTGAACTGCAGGGACAGGTTTGGACCTCAGTCCACCTCACAGAGGATCTCCCTGCCCTCCTTCCCCCAGACCATATTCCCCTTTACAAAGACTCTTGCCAGCTAAATGGAAGCTTCTAAGTGGTTCCTAATCTTTGGGGCTTTTTTTAATTAAAAAAAAGAGACAAATGCTTGCCACTCACCTATCCAGAATTCATCCTTGGGATCTCCAAAACCTGCCACATAAGTCTTCCAGTTCTTGTAGAAATCTTCCTTCCCATTCTGACGCCTCAGGAACACCTACAACCCCACATGGAACGAGTGTCATGGACAGACTGCCCTGGGCAGAGAGGGGACAAGCCCTGGGGCTTTTACAAACACAGAACTTCACCCTCCTTCCCCCCTTCTTATGCCAGCCAAAGCAGAGTCTCACTGAAATTACTGAATTATACCCAGACTGTTGGATGTTCCTTGGGTTTTTTAAGTCTCTGGTTTCTCCGTTGGGTTTCTCTGATGGCTTCCCAGGCTCCCATATATGATGTTGCCTTTCAGTTCCTGCTCTCTGCCCTTTTAACAACCTCTTGCAGTTCTGTGTTCCTCAGCCAAGGATTTCTCCATTCCCTCTCTCCTAGCCATGCATTTCTCCAGCTCCTTTTTCCTTTCTGTGCCCTGGGTCCCTCTGGCAGGTTCAGGTTTGAGGATATCAGTATATTTTTAATGCCATTCATTTACTGTCCCTTGTACAGTGGTCTGGGAAGACTTGTTGGCCACCACTCCACGTGCTGAACAAATGTTCCTCCGGCTTGTGCTTTAACCTCCTTCACTCTGTCTCTCATCTAAATAGAGTCAGTTCACCCCCCCCTCACCTTGTTAATTATTTAGAAGGTGTGTATCAATCTAAGATGGTCATTCCAGCAGCCCCTGTAGCCAGTGGAGAGGGATCAGTGCCTTTCCAAGGTGCTGAAAGCACTGATGTGACCCATCCTTTGGAGACACCTCTCTCTCCTCCAACTACAGAAAGAGCTAGTAACCTTGTTTTAGGATAAAATTCCCCAGATTTAGAGACAAGTGAGCCCTACTCTGATCAAATAAACACTCTGAGGGATGCCCCAGATGAGCAGGGTGGGATCTGCTGCCCAATACTCACGATCCATCCGCCCCCGTCCTCGCCCATGTCACAGAAGACCTGCAGAGGTTGAGCCTTGTCCCCGTTCACATAAATTGTGTAGAGCCCAGAGGTGGCTTCTCCATTCAGGAGGGCCTGGGAGCAGTCCTTGGGGTAAGGGTAGAGCAGCCCAGCTGCACACACAAGAAAAGACAGAGCAGTGTTTAAAAAAAATCAGCAGTTACGAGGAATTTCTAATACAGATGAGTCAGGAAAATCCACTGTGGGTCAATGGCACAGCCAGGAACAGAACCTGGACACAGGTTTATGATTACATCCTATAAAACATTCACAGGAAACAGCAGATGATGTAAATTTTTCTTTTGGATGTTCTTTTGCCCATCTGTCTGCACTTTGGGAAGTGCTGGGGATGCCAGGTGAGTCCCTACGAGGAGGGAGTGCATCTCCAGCTAAATCCTGAAATGTCCTCAGCTCTGGTACAGCAACTTCTGGGTTAAACCAAACCCACCAATCCCTGATCACGGGACAGAAAAGGGAGGGGGAATATAAAGACAAGCTTTCAACCAAAAATAAATTAATTGGGAGTATTTTGCTAGCAAGCACAGTACTAAATATGATATAAAACTGAGCTTTAAAAACCCAAGTAAGAGTTGAAATCACAGGGAAATGTTAAGCATTTCTTTCTGACAACGAGCCAAGAGCATCATTGCAGTCAGAACGATTTCTAAACCACAAAAAAGCTTTTGTTTTTTTTCTTTTTCAATTCTCTCAGGCCATTAACTGTCTCAGCCAATGGTTCCATTAAGTGATGTTACACAGAAGAGGTTTTAACTGTGGCTGCTCACACAGTGGCTGTTGGTCCTTTCCAGTGTGTTGCCCTTCCCTGCCTGTTCCTCAGCTACAGAGAATTTCAGAGAATCATAGAATTGTTAAGGTTGGAAAAGACCTTTAAGATCATTAAGTCCAATTGTCAACCCAGAACCACCACTGTGTTCACCACTAACCCACGGCCCCAAGTGCCACATTCACACATTTTCTGAACACTTCCAGGGATGGTGACTCCACCACTTCCCTGGGCAGGCTGGTCCAAAGCTTTACAACCCTTTCCATGAAGAAATTTTTCCTAATAGTGAATCCAAACCTCCCCTGGTGCGACTTGAGGCTGTGCAAGTTCCCATCACTGCTGGGATTTGGAGGGAAGTGGCTCTGCAGGGAGCTGCTTCAGTGCTTCCCTCTCACTAATTAGCACACAAATGCACGTTTAGAGTTTAGGCCAGGCTTAAGCACCTGCCTAAACGAGGCTGACACTGGGTGACATGGGTGAAGTCACCCTGGTCAGTCCCTGCTTGTGGTCAATTTACCAAACATCAGCTAAATAGCCCCAGATTTAATTCTCCTCCTATTTCTGTGGACTGGGGGCTCTTGGTGGAGCTCCTCCTGCTCTACACAAGCAGTGACTGAGCACACTTGGGCTGTGTGACTTTTAGCAGCACTTCATCAGTCCTTGGGCTGAGGTTGGTACAAGCAGGAGGAGGGGGAATGGGGATGGCTGAAGGTCCTGCAGGGCCTGGAAGGCTGGAAACTGTGAAAAGTGAGACAAATGACAGGCAGAGTGTCACAGCTAATACAGAACAACTCCTTTTTCTCAATGTCAGCTGGGAAGTGACCTTCAGAGAAACCAATTTATTCCTGCATCCAGCTCCCTGGAGAGCTGTCCTGTTAGGGCTGGAGCAGTGTGGCTTTGAGACAACCCATCCCAGAAAGAGGAGGACAAACTGCCCAGAAATTCATCTCCTCAGATCACTGAACTCACTTGTGTTCGTGGTTTGCTTCATTTCAGCTCAAAACTCTGATTTGTTTTCACAGCTCAGAGGCAAATCAGGGTGTCAGCTGGATTTTAAAGAGTTCCTTTTGATATTTTCCATGGGAAAGGCAGGATGTTTCATCAGAGAGAGGTGATGAGGGTGAATATTAGTAAAGAATTTCATCCTGCCAGTCTGGGGAAAGCAGATGACAACTCAGGGGGAACTTTAGAGACTTTGCACCAACACTACAAGTGCATAATAAAAATAGGATTGAACTCTTTTAAGAGGTCTGTTTGTCCTTATTGCAGAGCTCAGCTCTGTCCTGAGAGCAGTAATTTAGATTATTTCAGTTGTGTATGTGCTCTAAAGCCCTTACTTGTGGTGAAAACAGTCTGGATTGTTTTGCTCCTCAGGGATCCACTTAAGGCCTGGAGCTTCACTGTGTACTGGGTGGATGGGCTCAGCTCTGCCAGGCTGTAGGAAGTTGTATCAGGATTTAGGATGACTTCCTAGGGAGAGGAAAAATAATACAGAGAGATCTCAGAGAATGAAAAGAAAAGCATAATGACCAGGATAGTTACATATTTTAGGCTGTCACATCATTTTTTGTGGCAATTAGTTATGGTATTTTTAACCATCTAGGTTAATTAGCACAAATCTATCAACACAAAACTATTAATACAAACTTACTCCTCTTAGATTTTTATCAAGCTGACTTTCCCTAAAAGTTCAATAGAAGTTGCCTGGAAATGAGCCTTTTCCATCATAACACACGAGCTGTGTGGTTTAAAAGCAAGGCAGCAGGAATGTTTACATGCCTTGAACGTGCACATTGTGAAAGTCATAAAAAATGGGGAAGAATCATCCTTTAGGACAAGGAAATGTCACACTCCAGTCCTCCAAAGGCTGCTTTTCACTCACAGTAAAAGACTGATGTGCAGTGTGCTTAGGGAATTTGCCTTCCTGGAATTCAGAACTGTCTCTGATGCACCAGGCTGGGCATCCAAAACTGGGTGTTTTTTTCCTTGGAATTCACCTGGTTCATATTTAAGACTTGGTGTAATCTAATTATGTAGAAACAGAATAAAATCATTGGAGAACAAGAGGCACTTCCAAAGGTGATTCATCCTGCCTTAGAAGACCCCAGGGATGGATCCTCCTGAGTTTAGAAGGGGAATGCCATCCTCTGGGGTGTGTGAGTTTATTCCATGACACAGGTTTGGAATGAGGGAAAACCCTTGTTTGTGCTTTTATCTGCATTGTGGAGAGATGAGTGTCAAAATTCAGCTCCTGTTCCAGGGAATAATGTAGGAAAGTATTTAAGCAGGTTCTAAATGCATTTGTGTTCAGTCTGGCCCTGAAAGAGATAATTAACATTTTACTGTATTTAATTTAAGGCACGTGGTTATGGCTCATTGCTGGACACTTCAGAGCATTTCTGCTGCCCAGGTTTGAGGCTAAAACCCCTCTGGTTTGGTTGCCAGTGCTGTACCTTGACTCTGCCATCAATGGACTCGTAAATCAGGAGATACCCAGTGACTGGAGCACGTGGAGGCCTCCAAGACATCAGAGCTGTTTCTGACTGAACCTCAGTGGCACTTAAATCCCTTGGAGCATCCAGTCCTGAGGGAGACACCAGAGCAATCACAGTCACATCTCTAAGGAACTAAACACACTGACTATCTTATGGGCAGCATATTCAAACAGACCAGGAAAGCAAACCTTTCCTCCCCGGAAATTTGAAATTAAAAAAAAACATTTCAACCTAAATTTGGTGATTAAAAAGCGATTTTACCACTGGGGGGTTAAACATAAAGGTATTTGCTGTATCTAAGTTAAAATATTGGCTTGTCCCAGGCCTTTTAGTTTATAAGCACTTGCACTGAAGTGTTCTTGGAAACACAGAGGTGCATGTCATTATTTCACACAAGAAGATAGATTGGTATTGATATATAAATAAATATGTATGTACTTATATAAATTATATACAAATATATATTTATATAGTATATACTCTATATATTATATTCTATAATATTATATATCATGTAATATATAAATATTATGTATTTATATAGTATATACTATAAATATACAATATACACATATACATTATGTATGTGTATATATTATACATATACATATACATTATATATGTATACATTATATGTATATATTATATACATATAATTATGTACATACATACATATATATTATATATTTATATATAATATATTTGTACAATATATATACAATATATTATATATATTTATATAAAGAATATATAAATAAAATAAAATAAAATGAAATTAAATAAAACTTTGGTACTAATGATGACTTTTGAAGAGGAAAACTTTTCATACTTGGTCTGGCTACACATTCCCTTCTCCACTGTGATTATAACTCTAGACTGGGGTGGTTCAGCTCTTGGCTCTCGAGTTAATGCCCTGGGACAAGCCAAGTACAGTCAGGAAAATGAAGAATATCCATGATTTCATTGATGCTCATGGAAAACCAACTGGGCCCCTTCAACACTGGCACCCCAACATCAGCCCCCAGAGAAAAGCTCCTGCTTTGTGTGAGAGTCTCTCGAGTTGGTGACACAAAACCACCTCTGGGCTTCCACCAGAGCAAACGAGACGCAAACGCTGCCAACACCCAGGTTTGCAGTGAAAAAAGCACAGTGTGCTGCCTGACTTGAGGCAGGCAGAGGCAGGTGGGGCTGGCAGAGGTGGCAGGTGGGGCTGGCAGAGGTGGCAGCTGTCCCTGCAGGGGGGTGGGACACACCCGTGGTGAACTGCGTGGAGAGGGTCTCGCTCCTCTGCGCGTCCTTCAGCGCGTGGACGCTCAGCGTGTACTCGGTGGCAGGCTGCAGGCCCTTCAGGTCATACTCCACAGTGTTCCCTGACACCATCTGCGTGACTTCTGGCTCTGAGAAGAAAACACAGAAGAGATGAAGAGAAGAAAATGAGAGGAGAAGCATCATTCAGACATTCATGCCACGCTCAACTCCGCTGGTTTATTCACCGATTTGTTTTTTTACTGGCTGGGTGCAGTTGCAAAATAGTAAAAGCCCAGAGCCCAGCTCTGTGCTGACACCTCTGCTGGCTCTGAATTAACACCAGAGACCTTTATCCAAAAGTATGAGCACTCTCTAGTGTTCACAGGAATTATAACACCACCTTTACTTTGCAGGAATCTCAGTTCTCTCTGTTCGTGGCTAAATTGAAAGTGCTCAACTAAAATGACCGTTTTTAAAATGCTCCCAGCAAGGCACCTCCTTTAAATAACAGCCCCCTGTCATCTGGTTGTGGCCCCAAGGCTGCCAGAGCTTAAGAAGTGTTTGAACAACACTCTCAGGGACAGAGTGGCGTTGTTGGGGTGTCCTGGGCAGGGCCAGGAGTTGGACTGGATGATCCTGGAGGATCCCTTCCAACTCAGGATATTGTGTGATTCTCTGATCTTCCTGGCACCTACTCCTGAGCACACTTTGAGAGCTGTAACCCCCATCTCCCCAGCCACCCCTGACTCTTCTCACCTTCCTCAGAAGCATAGGACACCACATAATTATCCACAGCAGCAATTGCTGGCTGCCAGGTTGCCAGAGCCTCAGAGTCGGTGATGTTCACCACTACCAGGCCTGAGGGGCTGTCCAGAGCTGGAAAAAAAAAACCAGATTGAAGAAATTCGACAAATATTCTTGACTCTGTTGTAAATATATGGTAGAAAATGCCTTGGTGCAGCTTTTATGATCCCCTTTGGAATTGTGGAGCTCCTCGGGGAAGACGTCAGTGCCTATAAAGAGACACCAAAAGCCTCCACTGGAAAGGGAGGTCGATGCTTGGGGAGATGAAACACTGGGAACAGAGAGAACTAACCATGTTCTCAGATCAGCCTCAATACCATCAATCTTAACAGCTCTGTCAGAGCTGACGTATTTCTCTCCACACTCTCAAATCTGGGCTGTTTTTGGAGCAAACTCAGGAGACAGAGCTGGGAAAAATAACTGAAGTGACAATAACTGATGGCCACTGTGACCTTCCAGTAGCTTGCTCTGCAAGTTTGAAATAAATCAATCCCACAGCCTGCCAACCACCCAAAATGCCCCCATGTCCTTCCCTGACTCTTTGTGGGACTCTATTTTTCACATGGGTTTATGCTTTCCCAGAATTAGGATGGATCTCTGCCTCCAGTACACCTGGAATGGGCTACAAATCTCCTGTTACTATCCAGTACTCATAATCTTGCTCCTTGCCTCAGTTCTCCGGATGCTTGTTAAACCCCCAAAAATAAAGAATGAAGGGTGCAGGGAGGGATCAGCAGGAGCAGAGTGGAGCCTCATTTCCTGCAGGGATATTTAAAGCTTCATTGAAGAAAAAAAAAAACCAGGAGAGAGAATGTTTTTATGCTTAAAACAGGCTGGAACATGGGAGATGTGGAGTTTGACTCCACAGCAGAAACTGGTCTCATCGTTGCTCCCTCATCTCAAAAATGGTATTAATTAAACTCCTGGGTTTTTTTCTGCTGAATTAGGACTGTAAATACATGAATTATATTCAAACAAGTTGGTTTAGCACTCAGGAAGTGGAAGCTTGATCAAACTTACAGGTTCTACGCCCATCTAAAATGCAAAGGCACAAGGAAGGAGCAGGCAAGAAGCTTCTCAGGGTTTGTGTGGGCAGCAAAAATGGGATCTCAGTGGGTCTGCAGGTGAGACATTTGAAAACCTGCTCTTTCCTCCTTCTGGATTACCTGTTTTCAGGATGCCAGAGATGGGTTCACTCTCCTCAAAGCCTTTCACAGAGATGATGCTGACATTGTAATCCACACCCGGGACCAGCTTCACCAGCTTGGTCCTTGTCTTGCTTCCATCGACTGTAACAACGTTTGGAGTTCCTGGGAAGAGGCCAAATGCCACGGGATTAGTGACACAACACTCCAGGAAAAGCTTGAAGGATGTGTTTCTAGGTAAAGACTATGCCCTTGTACAGGAAGAGGAGACTTTTCCCAGTTAATTACAATCACTGATGTCCAAGAGCAGCCTCAGAGCAAAATACTGATGCAATAACACCCAAATCTAAGAAATTGGTTTGTGTTCAGGAAGAAAAAAGTGACATTTCTAGTGGAAGTCTCTGCCCATGGCAGGGAGTTGAATGAAATGAGCTTTAAGGTCCCTTCCAGCCCAAACCAGTTTGTGATTTCAGGATTTCTGTTCAGAAAAATCTAATTTCAAAAACAAGGTGTAAGAAGAAAACACAGCACTCTCCACATGGAAGTTCAAGCACCTGCAAGGACAGGACTCGAAGTTTAGACCTGCTTTGTTTCTGGTAAGGGTTGGACATTCCCCCTTTACCCAATTCATTTTGAATAAGGATATATCATATTTTAAGAGGTGCTGTATGTGTGGTGAAGACTCTAGGACACATATTTATTTCAAATTCTGGGTTTATTCCAGGGAAGCACTTAGACAAGTGCCTAACTCTATGACTGTGGATTCCTTTTCTTCTGTGGAACCACTATATATTTAAGATTAAACATGTGATTATAGTTTGTATTGTCTGAAGGCATAAATCTTTAATTGTCTCTGTCAGCAGCATGACTATTTTTTTCCTGACATCTCTAGTGTTTGTTCTTTAGCTGTTTCCCTTTAGAGATGTCCCTAAATTATGCTAAAAATCGGTTTAAGTTTAGGAAGTTTTTAAAGTTGAACACTAAACCAGAGCTATAATGGGTGGGATGAGACAACCCTGAGGAGCACTAAGTAAAATCACTGCGCTGGAAAACTCTTATAACCATGGATTATGATTTCCAAGGGCCATCTTTTCCAATCTGCTCAGCTCATAAAGTGCCTGAAAAGTAATGAGACAGTTTGGAACCAGGAGGAGGCTCAGACAGAGACATTTTAGGAGTACAACCATTCCAGCACCTCCCTCTGAGCTCCCTCACCAGCCCTGTCCATGGGATGTGGGCGCTGTTGGTTACACACCCACCCTCCTGGGGTGCAGGGAAAAGAGGTGATCTGTGTAAAATCCCTTGGGATGTGCACTGAGAGGGGGATGGCAGCACAGCAAACCCTTTCTGCTCCCCCTCTTGCCCCGCTGTCCCTCCTCAGGGTCACTCACCTCCCGTGACAGGGACGTAGGAGATCCTGAAGGTGTCCACGCGGGAGCGGGGGGGGGTCCAGCTCACTGTGGCAGCGTTTTCCGTGATGTCCGAGAAAGAAATTCCCTTGGGAGACCCCACAACTGCCAGAGGAGAACACACCACACACAAAGAGAAGGTAAAACGTTTGTTCATCACTCCTTACTGCTGGAATACTGATTTGTCTCATCCATCTATCCCAAGAGCTGGTGTTACCAACATTCTGTCCTAAACCACCCTAATGCAGGGAGCACCAAACTGCTCGTGGTTTTATCACAGCAACAACTTGTTTGGTCTAAATTCTCCTGTTTTCAGGACCATTGCAGTACTACAGAACTTAAAAATACAACTTTATTACAGCAACAACTTGTTTGGTCTAAATTCTCCTGTTTTCAGGACCATTGCAGCAGTACAGAACTTCAAAATACAACATGTACCTATGTAAAAGTAACAGAGATTTCAGTGTTAGAACAAAACATGGAGGAACATGTACAGAAATGCCATTCTATCACCCAGGAAATACTGTATTTAGTGTTTTTTCTACCTCCGTTTCACTTGGATGGTTTTTAGACTTTCCGTTGAGTCCCAGAGCCGAAATTTTACCAAAGTGACCCAAACTTAAGATGAAAGCAACACATATCTGAAATATTCCACTTTGAGGCTTAATTAAGCTCCTCTAAAACAAGCATGGAAAGGGCTTCTGGAAGGACGTGGCGGAGGGACCTGACACTTCCAAACTTTCCAGCTTTTTTGGCTGTAATCAAAACAACTCTGATGTGTTAAAAAAATTAAATAGCACACACAGAGCAGCACAAAGAGGAGAGATACCAAACATCAGCTACGTTAAGAGGAGTGGAGACAGGCTGAGGGCAGGGGAAGGGGGGCAAGAGGAGGGGAAAAAAAGGGACTGTGCTGGAAATAGCTTGGAAAGAACGTGTCTGAGGGAAAGAGTCAGAGGGCTGTTTGTTCCATGTGTCCCCAAAGCTCCAGCAGCCTTGCACTAAATCAGCTGGAAGGCAAGGAAAGAAAAACAACTGAGCTCTGCAGAGAAATGTAAATTATTCCTCTGGAGCTCACCAGACATGTTGTGTTTGTGGGGTTTGCTCACGTGGAAAAGCCAAGGGAAGAAAAGAATTAAAGATAACAAAGCAAGGTGGGGCTGGAAAGGCTACAGGGCACACAAGGGTGTTCCTGTTTGAAGGGCAGTCTGAAGGAAGCTGAAGAGCACAAAGAAAAACTGGGCAAGAGAGAGAAGTGAAAATCATATTGATTTGGCTTCACATTAGAGGTGCCCTGAGTGGCTGAAGAAAAGTGCTCTTTGGAGACCAAAGAGATGGACCAGCACTCCATTTTCACACACACAGGGAATTCCAGCCTTTCCCAGGAAATGAAATAACCAATCCATCCCACTTGGACTCTGCTGGGCACAGTTCCACGGAGCTCATGAGTGTTTTCTGTACCAGGTGCATAACAAACAGTGGTAAGAAGAGCTTTGACTACGTGAGTTTTCCACAAACAGCAGCAACTTTCCTGGGAGAGAACCTGGCAAAAAAAAGTCCATTGATGGACCATCAGAGCATCAGTCTTGGAATGAGTCCCAGAGATGTGAGAGAGTAATACCTTTGAGCACAGGGAAATTAAAAAGAAGCAAAGAAAATCATCTTCTTGAGCTACCTGAAAGCCAAAATGAAGCAGGCAGAGAAAATGGCCAGTGTGCTTCTGGCTTGTCACTCATAGAGGACCTCAGCTCATCTCTTGGGCAAGTACAGGTAATTAATTACCTTTATCCTCCAGCATCATTCTCCAAGAGCTGTATGAGAGACAGAACCTTCCTGGGAGTCTGCTAAAGCCCCCACGGCTGTTATTCATTAGGGATGGGTTTTGTTAATTGTTATCTCATTCCCAACAAACTAGAGTTTCCTGTTCACTGGCTTTCTTCTCCTAAGCAGCAGGAAGCAGCAGGTTGCATTTATCACATATAAAGAGCATGTGAAGTGTTCTGGGATCACCTCAGATGAAAAATGCTGTCACAGTGTGGCAAACCATCATCAGGAGAAGAGGAAGGTAGCAGCATGGAACCCATATTTCCTACAGAGGATATGAAGTGGCCCACAGCTGGGCTGTGGCCCCAGGGTGGGGGCTGAAATGCACTTTAACTGACATTTTACAGAGGGATTTCTGAAAGACACCAACTGAGAGCAGCAGTGGGCAAATCCCCCTGTGCCACCTTGGTCAGACCCTGCAGGTCTGTGTGCTGCTGCCTTGCACTGCAGTGGTTTTACAATGTTTTACATCACAGGACTGATGAAGGTAAAATGCCAGGCTGCTGCAGAGGGCAGGGACAGTGGGTGTCATCAGCACCCTAAAGAGGATTATTGTCAGCAGCTCTGGGGGGAAACTGCTGCTGTTCATTTTTACACGCGAGTCAATTATGGAGGAAGAACTCCTTGTGATGGGTGTGGGAAGATATTTATTGTCACCTCCCATTCCTAGTGGTTTCCCATCACATTCCTGGTGTGATGGGAGGAAGGCAGATCACCTCAGCCTCCAAGCAAGGTACCAGCTGCAGGACCAACACAAGAAACATAGAAAAATGCTATTTTCTATCTCCTCCACTAAAGCTAAAGATTTTCTAGCTGATTTATTCCTTGTTCACTTCTACAAAGGCCAGAATCAAGCATGGCTGAATACAAGCCTGTTTGAATTACCCCTTCAGGGATGGAAATATTTCTTTGCAACCACACTGGAAATGCTATAAATATACATATGTTCGTGCAATAATCAACTCCTAAAAAAGAAATTAGTTAGATGCCTTGGCAGCCCAACCACCCAAATGTGGTGTAACCTGCAATGTGAATTATTGAGCTGGATTTTTGTGGCTCCAGCTCTATTGTCAATTATCCACGGGCTGTTTCCAGCTGACAAACATCTTTTGGGCTATTGGCTTCAGGAGGTGCCATAAATCTCCCTGAAAGAAGTGAATAAGAATGTAGCCATGAGGAAAATGATAACTCTTGGTGGTTTGCCATAAATATCCTGGAAGTCAGGGAACATGGGGACATGCTGCTCCCAAGTGCAGTGGACTTTAAACATCCCTCTCCATTAAGAGTCCAACTGCAGGAGCCCAGAGAGCAGAGGTTTGTGAGGGATGCAGGTCCTGCTTCCTGTAAATGTCTGGGTGAGTGAGTGTGTGCCCTGGCTGTTTATCTGAGGGATGTGATGGCACTCAGAGGAGCTGGGCACAAATGTGCCTTTCTGTGCTGGCCCCAGAATCAGGGGGAAGCAGGAGGCTGTTTTAGGAAAGGCTGCTCAATACTGAGCTGTTGCTGCCCTTTCCCTGGGTGCTGCCTGGAGTTCTGCTACAGCTGGGAAAATACCCCTTTTAGGGATTCCTGTTGGCTTCCTCACACACTGAACTTTGGACTTAGAACCACATCCTGAGTTGGAAGGGACTCACCAGGATCATCCAGCCCAGCTCCTGACCCTGCACAGACACCCCAACAATCCCACCCTGGCCCTCAGAGCGTTGTCCAAACCCTCCTGGAGCTCTGGCAGCCTTGGGGCTGTGCCCACTGCCCTGGGGAGCCTGGGCAGTGCCAACCACCCTCTGGGGGAAGAACCTTTTCCTGAGATCCAACCTGACCCTGCCCTGACACAGCTCCAGCCATTCCCTGGGTGCTGTCCCTGCTCACCCAGAGCAGAGCTCAGAGCTGCCCCTCATGAGGACGTTGCAGACCCTGATGAGGTCTCCCCTCAGAGACTTGTCCCCTTCCTGTTCCCCTCCTCCTGGAATGAAGCAGATTTGAAATAACCACTTTTTCGTATCAGCAAGCTCAGAATTTTTAAAAGAGTGAATTTGGCTCATGGGACACGGATTCATTTGCCTTAGGTTTAAATATGTTTCAAAATGAAACCATGACTTTGGTGGGGAAAAAAACTGAAGCACTTCATTCTTATGTGCCAAAATGAAATGTTTCAATTATGAACCCAAATCTGACCTTTGATATTGCCAGAAACTCAAGTCAATTTGAATTATTGAGCACACGTTGCTCCCAGTAAGATCAGTCTAAGTTAATGGTGCTTAGGCCTTTGCTGATAAAGGCATAAATAAAACTTCTCAGTGGCTCTGGTAAATTCATTTTGTCATAATTCTTTTCTAGGGAGGTAAATTGTTGTGCAGTGCTGAGATGTAATTAGCCACAAGAAATCCCTGAAAAAGGCTGATGCAGAGACAATATTACTTGGCCCTCAAAGACAACGCTTTAACTGCCAGACTCTGCTGCCTAATTCCAGATCATGAAAGTAATTCAATTAAACCCTGTTAAACAGACAGTGATGAAGCTGCAGAATCTGAGACTGGTTATAAACAACCACATTGAGCCAGTGGATAAGGGGTATGCAGGAGACAGCTCAGGAACAGCACGAGCTGGCTGTGAAAATGAGAGGTGCTGAAAAGAACAGCAATTAATGGGTTACACTTTTCCTACTGCAGAGACAATACCTGTGGTTGCTACTGCATTTACAGGCTGGGAACGTTGTCCACTGCTAAGTCCATAGAGCTCAATCTCGTACTCAGTACCCTCTTTGAGCCCTGTTATGTCCTGGGTGCGCTCGTGGCCTGGGATTATCAGCTCCAGTGGGTCGGATTTCCTCTTGGTATCCCTGATTTTTAGAACAAAACTGTTGAAAACCCCGTCATCTGCAGTCCAGGAGAGGCGGAATCCATCCGGGGTGGCATCTGAAACCAGGAGGTTGTCGACCTCGGGTTCTGCTTCTAAAAAAAGGAGGAGATAGCAGCAGGGAGAAGAAATGGGGGTTTAATGAGTTGATCAGAGACCTGCCTGAGGCCTGGCTATAGCACACTGCAAGAATCCAACCACAGTTCAAAGCAAGGGAAACAATCTGCCAGCTAGTGAAAAAAAAAAAAATAAAAGAGATTATTAGTGTTATAAACATACCAAAGGGGATAAATGTGAGTGTGTGCAGGCCCATTCCAGCTTTCACTCTCCAACAGCAGATCCACTGCATGGACATACAACCTTTGCCTCCAACATGCAAAGTTACACATGCTAATGGTGCATTTTTCCCTCCCTACCTATGTGACACCTTCATGTACAATAAAAACAAGCTTGTTATAGAACTGCAGGCATGCCTGGAACACTGTCAGGCCTCTCTCTGTTAGAACAACACAGAAGCCACTGGAAAGAGTCTTTTTCTCCATGCAAACCCCTTTTGTCATGCACTTCTGGCATCCTTGATGCTTCTGGTCAGATGAGTCCTTTGCTGTTAAACAACTGCTGAAGCAGCAAAGGGGAATCATGAAAATCCACATCCCTCACACAGCACACTTCAATCCAAATGCAAGACCTACTGTCTTAAGTGAATGAACCCACTCAAAAGGATCCCAGGAGCCGTAAAATATTAATTACCTGCAAAGCATCTTTAACTCAATGTGCTCAGGCCTCATTACCTACAGAAATGCTGCTGGAGCTGCTACTGTCTTACAGCATCTCCAGTGCAATTCCTCCTTCCACAGACAGACATTCCTCTTTATTTTCTCACAAACCTCCAACCAGATAACCCCCAGCTTTACTGCTGCACGTGCAGATGAGAACTGATGGTTGTGGGGCCAGAGGATCTGCAAGGATTTTCCGAGGAAGCTCAAGTGCTGCTGGAGAACAGCAGCTCTGATGTGGCTGGAAATGAGCTGCTGTGTGGAGAGAGATGCCAACTTTACAGGTGGCAATGACCACACTCGACAGGCTGTGGGTGGAACCCACACAGAGAGGGAAAGGAAGGAGGCCATGGCAAGAGATCCATGACCTCCTGAAGGTCCTGATGGTTGGTAGGTTGGAGGATGCTGATGTTGTTGGAGAATGCTGATGTGCCCAGCAGCTGCTAACAAGAGGAGCTCCCGTTCTTGTTAACGAGACATGCAGCCATTCTTCTTGAAAGACTTTGGTTAGAAGGATCTGCAAGACCAGACACTTTCACCCCTCGAGCCCCAACATGCTCCTCTGCAGGATCCCTCATCAAACCAAAAGGAAAACAAGTTAAAAGGACCAGAGTTCCCCTGGTGCCCCTGCCAGTCCCGAGGGGTTACGTGGAGCCACGATGCAGAGAAGGATGCAAAAGCCAAGGTTTGCTTTGCAAATGGATGGCACAAAACGTCTCCCACGGGAGAAGGAAAGCAAGAGAGGGTGGAGGAGAACAATTTGTTCACATCAAAATACCTGTGACAGCCAGAGCGCTCAGGGGCTTTGTTTGGTGCCCCTTGGCAAAGCCATAAAGCACAACCTCATAGCCAATGCCAGTTATGAGGCCTTTAAGCTTCAGTTGGCGCTGGGCTCCCGAAAGGAGGAACTCCTGGGGGTCCAGCAGCTTGCCAGAGTCCACCACGACCACCAGAAAGCTGTCAAAGGCATTCTCCGATGCCATCCATGACACTGTGAACCCATAGGGGTTAATGTCAGACACAGTGAGGTTTCCCAGTGGGGGCATGGCCTCTGAAAGAAGGGAAGGTGCAAAAACACACACACACACACACAAAAAAAAAAAAAAAGTGAAAAATATCATGAATTAGAAAGTGTCACAGGTTCCACCAAGTAAAAAACCACATTTTCCCTCAAAGCATGGATTGAATAGAAGTGCAGAGCCAGGACCACAGGATGAGGATTTTCAATGGAGTCTCCACTTAGATGCTCAATTTTTAATTTTCATCAAGGGTGTCTCAGCACCTCAACTCAAGCTCCATTGAAATTCCTTCCAAGCTCGTTTCTCCTGTTAACATGCACTGGGAGACAGTTATGACCAAAACTGCCTTAGAAATGCTGTACAAAAACTTTCATTTCCTTCCAGTTATCTCCACCATCAGTGCTTCAGGGACAAGCCTCAACTTTGGCACTCACAGCTCCTGTATTTACCTCTCTACTTCATATAAATATCCCCAGCTTTCATTTTCAGTGGTGGAGGGGTCAGAGATGCCAGAAGCAGGACATTAATCTGTCAGAGTCATACCTAGCGGGGCATGTTGACAACTTAAAGAAATTCCAGGGAGGGTTTTTTTTAATTTTCACATCAGCATGACTTTAGTCAAAGGTAAAAGACAGGGATCAACTCTTCAAAACTTATCCACCAAGACTCAGGGAAAAAAAAAAAAGGCTGAAATTTCACAAGATTCTCGGTGTATTTTTCTCACTCAAAATCTGACAGGTCAAACAGGAAGATCAACTTGCTCTGCTAAGCCCTGGCCTTGATCCTGCAGCCCAGGCATTGCTTGTGTTTCTCTGCACTGTTTGTCAAACCTGCTCTGCTGGCTCAGGACCTGACTCATCCCATCTTCCAGCCACTCAAATTCCACTCACTTAAGAAAATACCAGTCAGTTAAAGACAGAACCTTCTCCTGAAAAGGGCTTTGGGTTTGGTTTTCACGTTTCACAACCACTGAAACTGATGTCGTTGGAATTTGGCATAAAAATTCCCTCCTGAAGTGTTATAATTTGGAACTCCTCATGTTTTAATATTTACACATTTGGATGCCAGAGATTCAGCTCGAATTCACTCTGTTTTGAGATGGTTTTGCATTTTAATCACTTATAATCGAGCAATCCCAAAGACTCACAGTTTGGGTTTGTCTCTGGGAGGGTGAGTAAACAAATACTGAGCCCACACTGCTGAAATGATTTTCCTGGGGTGGGTGTTGGGTGACACCAACACCCTGAACCAGCAGGTTTCTGTGAGCCACTGGCACATCCTCCTGCTGAGCAGGGTGTCCCATGTTTCCCTTGCTTCCCTTGTGGGAAGCCTCCTCTCTCAATCCCAATTTCCAAATCAGTCTGTGTTTCTATGATTCTTTTCCAGTGGCACACACTGGCCACATGATTCATAGAAGGTGAACTCTGTGATGTTTATTCAATCATTTAGGAGGCTGATCCCAGTCAAAACTCAGGCAAAAATACTCAGACATAAGGGATGTGCTGAGGGGACACCATGGGATAGAAGATCTTCTAAAATCCAAGTCTCTCTGGGATCCTTCAGGTGCAACTACAGATGCAAATTTTCCCCTCAAACCTCAGGCATTAAAAATATTATTAGAGATGTGAGAAAGACTCCAGAGGGCTCTTAATCCAGAATGTTTTGGGTTGGAAGGGACCTTAAAGCTCATCTCATCCCACCCCCTGCCATGGGCAGGGACACCTTCCACTAGCCCAGGTTGCTCCAAGCCCCATCCAACCTGGCCTTGGACACTTCCAGGGATGGGGCAGCCACAGTTTCTCTGGGCAACCTGTGCCAGGGCCTCCCCACCCTCCCAGGGAGGAATTCCTTCCATATATCCCATCTAAAACATTCTCCCTTGTCCTGTCGCTCCAGGCCTTTACTCCAAGCCCCATCCAACCTGACATTTTAACTCCCTTTACCCTAGTACCGCTCCTAGGAATTTTTTTAAGGTCAACATGCCTGGTCTGACCCCTCCTTGCCCTAAGTTTGCAAAGAAACTGGACGGGATGCTCAGCTCTGCAGAGTCCTTTTCATCATCCACAGTGGGATATTCATTTCCTCGAGCTAACAAACAGACTCCAAAGCTTTAAGCAGGTACCTGTCAGGACAAGAGCAGTGAGGGGCTGTGTGTGAACACCCGCCCTGGTGGTGCCTTTAATGTTCATGTCACAGCCAGTGTAATTTAGGGGGCCTGAGATGTGGGTGCTGCGGGTGCCCCCCGACACCGTGAGCTCCCGGGGCTCCTGAGCTGCCTGGGAAACTCTAATGGGAATAACAAACTTGGCAAAGGGCCCATCTCTGGTGGTCCAGGAGAGGTTGAAGCTGTCAGGGGTAACGTTTGTGAGGGTGAGGGTGCCCAGCTGTGGCTCAGCCTCTGAGGGAGAAAGGAACACAGGTGAAGAGACAGTTACGCTGTGAGGGGCTGGGGGAATCAGCACAGGAGGTTCAGAGATGCTCAGAACCTTTTAGCCTTGCTTTGCAGTGGTTGAATAATAATAATAATAATAATAATAATAATAATAATAATAAGCATTGCAAGAGCTGCTTTGTCAGGTTTTGGAAAGAAGCCACTGAAATTAGTGCTGGCTTTAAAATTATATTTTCATTCAATTTTCTTAAATCAACTCAATTTACCTAATGAACTGTGGGCTTGATTTACAGAAGCACCAACAGAGCACAGCTCTGTGGTTAAACCTTACAAATTACAGGAATTCCACACTGGGGATTTGATGGGAATACAAACCCTCAACAATTCCAAAATAGATAAAGTAGATTTCAGGCAGGAATCCTTGAAATCCCAGTTCAGCTTCTGTTTAGTGTTTCTGTTGCCTGGAGTTGTAAATACTTCTATTTTTGGACCCTGAAGTTTATGAAGGGTTTCAGTCCTAACAGTGATTATCTCAGCACTAATCTCAGACCAAAACCTCCCTGGGCTCCACAGATAAGGTGTTCCTCATCCTCTGATCAGGCACAATCAGGGAATATCTGATAGACTGAAAAATAAACAGCCCTGCTGTTGCTCTCCTTTCTGATTCTTCAGTGGTCGCTTCCTTAAGAAGCCAAGACTTTGCTGCAGGAGGAAAGTCAAAATCACATCTCTCCCCTGCCAGGGGAAGAATTTGTCCTCCAGGAGTGAGAGAGCTCCTTACCCATTCTGTTTTACAGCATAAAATCATTAAAGATGCATTAAAGCACAGAGAGAGCACAAACACGACCCAGCAGTCAGATGGTCAGAGAATCCTGTGGCTGCTCTCTGGGCTGAGTTACTGTTTTTTCTCTTGCCAATTGAGTACAAACCAAGAACACCTTGGGAAATGCAGCCAGTGAGACACAGAAAAACAACTATTTAAGTGATTCATGCTGGGAGAAAAGCCAGAAAGATGCATCCCACCAACAGAGAGAATGAGGAAAGAATGAAATCTTCTTCTTGACTAAAACATGAACTGCTGCAAGATGTTCCAACTTTTACTCCTGTCCCTCATGGCAAGACTTTTAAATAATAGTCCTCCTTCTTCCCTGGAGTTTTGTAGGAAGAGGTGAGTGCAAGTGGCCCCGATTAAGGACACATGCAGAGGTCATGCTACCAACCAGTGACCATCAGTGCCTTCATGGCTGACAGGAAGGTGTCACCATGGAAGCCTGGTACTCCTGAAGACAGAGGGGATGAGAATATCCACAAGGCAAACAGGGTTGGGTGGAGAATCCATGGAAACCGGGCACGGAGCCCTCACATGCAGGTCAGAGAGGGCAAACAGAACCTTTCCAAACTCATCCTGGCACGGCCACATTCCTTCACATGCCACTTGCATCCGGTCAGGCACGTTCCCATCATGGCAACCTGACTCCAGAGAGTGCTACATGCAACACAAATGGAAGTTATCTCTTCAGGCAAGTCTTAGTGATCTCCTGCCATGTGGAATCACCACGGGAAAAGCTGTGACATCCAGTGGGACAAGACAGGTCACAGAGATTCAAAGGCAGCAATGCAAGTGAGAGTGGTGGGATGACCATCAGGAAAGGGAGACCTTGCTTTTTGAGCCCTGCTCTCTTCTGGGAACACACAAAAATACTGGGCAGAGAAGAACATGAGAACCAGAACCACTCCATGCAGTTTTGGTTGGTCATCTCACATGCTGCATGAAACTCCCACAAGAGATGCAAATGTCTTGGGAGACATTTGGTTTCAAGAAAGAACAAAAATGACATGCAGGTGCCTCTCCAGGCTGAGAAAGACATGAAGGCCTCCCACCCACAGCAAGGCAAGTGAGGGTGGGATGAACAGCAACTTCATTCAGGATCAAGTGCAAAGATGCTCCATGAAAAACATCAACTGCCTGGAGCAGGTCAATTATATATACACAGGACTTGCAGAGAAGTGTATATATAAGGAAACCAATCATGATTTACCACTCTCTTAATGCTGGGGGCACTTTTTCAGCCTTTTCCATTGCCTCAGATCTCTTTTTCTGAGCATTCTCAGTGTATTTCAGAGCGGTCTCCCTACAATTTACCACAGGAACGATGACGAGTTGGAGCCACGTTTTAGAGCAGTTCGGTGGACAGCGAAAGAAAGAAGAATGAAAAGCAAACCTGGAAGGTGAAACAGTGAAATACCTGTGGTTGCCAGTGCTGTCAGGGTCTGCCCACCTTGCCCATCAATTACACCATGGAGCTGGACAGTGTAATTAGTGGCAGCTTTGAGGTTGGTCACCACATAGCGCCGGGAGGCCCCCGGCACTGTGAGCACCAGGGAGTCCAAAGGGAAGTCAGAGTTCCTGACCTCTAGGATAAAATGGTCAAAGGCATTGTCCTGTGCTTCCCACGTGAGTGACAGGCTGTCTGAGGTAGCATTTGATACAGTGAGTTTGCTAAGGAGAGGTTCCTCTACTACGGGAAGAAAAACAAACGGAAATGTATCGCAGTTATTAAAAGCCAAAGCAACAAAATAAATTCATATAGAAGCTTGAATTTACATGACCAGTGGTCACAAAGGTCAGCTAGCCTTGAGTTTCTCCATGTTTTTTATATCATCACCCCTGCAGTCACCCTGAACATGCCACCCATCATTCAGTGAGGATGTTCCCAGTCTGCTGACGCTGGAAACTCAAACTGCCTTACCTGATAGCTGAGATGTGATATTCTGCTTTCATCTACCACATTAACCTATTGCTGTGACAAATTGCCATGGTAACTTTTCCTAAGATCATGTCAGCAGGCAAAACTTGGCACAGATATGAAATGATCCCAGCATGAGCTCTTATCTGCCTATACAGTGAGAATGCACCTTCTGTTCCTGCAGTCCAGCCTCTCACACTGTCCTTGGCTAAAGCACACTGAACGTTTGACTTCCCTGTCTTTTCTGGAAAAACTGTCAGCTGTAAAGCCTCGAGCTGTGCAGTGTGCCAACAACTAAATGCCTGCCTATTCCAGTCACTGACATCAAGTCAAATGGACTTTTTCAATCTCTCCTCCAATGTAAACGGAACACTGAAGCTGAATTCAAGCAGTGAATGTGCCTTGCAGGATCCTGCTGGCACAGACTGAAACGTGCCTGACATCTATTTAGAGACTCAGGATAAAAACTGTGTGCAGAAATCAGCTTATTTGAGACAAATAGTGTCTGCTCTGGGCTGTGTGACAGATGCAAACATGTGTTGAAGGGTGAATATAATGAATCATCTCCCTCTTGGTTCTTGGGAAATGTGTTTTGCTTCTCATCTGCCTCGGAGGTTGCCCCAACCTCAATGTTTGAACAACCTTATCGTGTGACTCAAATCACAGCACAGCGTGACTGACTGACTTTGCTGGATGGATTTTGGTGGGTTAACATTCAAAAAATTCAAAAGGTCCCAGGCTGGTCTTCCTTAGAAGGTGTCAATCAATGAGGTAGAGAGTTTGGCAGTGGATTGGTGGGGGAGCTGAGGGCAGGGAAAGGGGCACAACCTGTAAGGAAGAGTTAGAAAAAATGAAGTTAGCAGCGAGGGAGGTTCATGTACCTGTTGTAGCTGCAGCACTTATTGCCTGTGTGCGGAAACCACGAGAGATCCCAGAGAGGTAGACAATGAAATCAGTGCTGGGAGAAAGCCCTGAGATATGAGCAGTCCTTGAATTGCCTGAGAGGTTGAACTCCATGGGCTCCAGCAACCTGTTAGAATCAATAATTTCAATAGTAAAGGCGTCGAAGGCCCCGCTGGTTGTCCAGGAAAGGTTGAAGCTTTCGGGAGTAATGTCGGAAACCATGAGCTCACCAACTTCGGGGTGCTCTCCTGAGGAGGGAAACAACACTGGTCAGAAGGGACAGCCCTGCACCTCCTCCTGCTGCTCACAAATGCTCCTCTCTGCCCATGCTGGCAGCACTCCAAGCTGGACAACGGGGGGTGTGAGTAAAAGCTTGCTACAAGCAGATGGGTACTAAGGGGAAGAAATCAAATGAAAGCAGCACAAACTGTTAAATAAGACTAAAAAATAAAGTAAGCTTTAAAGCCATGGCTGTTCCCCCTATCTGCAGGAGCAGCCATACATCTTTGAGGTCTGAGCACGAAAGCAGATGCAAAAAAACTTCTCTGAATCCATTTAGAAAAGTCAGTTTTAGGAGAAGGTAAAACTGGAGGTACTGCTTTATCCAAAGGAAAAGGTTGGGGTTTGTTTGCCACTTCCCCTTTCAGGTTAAGCCAGTAAAAGCTGGTTTGTAATTTTGGAGCTGGAGACAAAATGCAAAACAGGGATAGCTGCCTTGGGGTTTCCTCCTCTCTGTGGACATCCCTGTAAAGCCACAGGAAGGGGCAGAAAATTCTGATAATTGGAAGCCCCTAGAAGGGAAAATTCTGAAAAGCCTGGTGCTGAGCAGACCCAGAAAGGGAAGGGAAAACCTCAGCAGGGCATCCTCTGCTGTTTTCACTGGTTTAAGAGAAAGAGAGCACTTTGCAGATTTAAGCAGGACACCCATGATGTCTGTTCCTTTGTTTTTCCAGCCAGGCTGGTCTGTTTTCAGTGGGAATCTGCCACCAGCTCCCACTCAGGACCCTCAAAGCACAACACTTCTAGTGGGACACAGCCCAAGGCAAGAGCCTGGTGCCAGACACATCTCTGCCTAAAGCACTGTTGGAACCATCCAGCTCTGCTGCATCTCATGTTTTAATTCTGATTAGTTCTTACATGGACTTTCATCCCCTTCTGGGCTGGGTAATATGTGCTTGGAAATCAAGCATGAGCCAGCTCTGGCTGTCTCACAATGACAGGAGGTTGCCAAGGTCTGTAAGGAAGCCCAGAGGCAGAAGATGTTGTCTACAAGAAATTATCTGAAGGAAGAGCCACTGGTGCTCCTTTAGTGCCAATTAATTCATGCTCTGTTCATTAACCATGATCAGAACACCAGGAAGGAGCAGTGAGCCACGAGGATAAATGGAAGTAGATATTTACCTCTCACAGTCCAAGTTCTCATTTAAAACTGCTGCCTTTCACAGGAACAGCCAGGAAATTATTTTTGTGGCTCTTGGTGAGCTTCAGGCAACATTCTGATAATGAAAGGATGGCCTTCCTTCTTTCAAGTCACTTTTATACCAGGGTAGTTCTGAATTTGATCTTCTTGCATTATATTTGTTTCAGCCCAATCAGACTGTTTAATGACCTTAGATGACTTAATATATGATACTACTCTTAGTAATAATTAATTTGTGTTCTTTTCTATATGAGAACACATAGAAGATGTTTGTCCCTGCCCTTGAGGCAGATACACACACTATGCCCCCCTGAGTTCAAATTTACACAGAAGCTACTGCAAAATTTCAGAGGAAGCTTCTGAAGGGAAAAAAAACTAAACACACTCCCTGGCTTTGATAATCTGGGCTGTAGAGAAAGGATTTTTATAATTTTACCAGGCAACCTGGGCTTTTCCAAGCATGTACAACAGCCAGCTGGGTTTGGTGTTAGTGCCAACCAGCAGGTGAGTGAGCAAAGGGAACAAAACAAGCCATTCTGAGCTGGGAAGAGGGAAAGCATTCCTACAGGGGAAGGGCTGCACGAGGGCACTGACACTCTCGCTGGAAAGTCTGACCTTGAGACCTTTCCACGCCAGAGATGTTCAGCCAGGCTTTAAGGAGCTCAGTGCCCCCATGCAGAGCCAGCCAGCAGCTGGAATAGCTCTGGCTCCCATCCCTGGCTGGGAAGAACACGGGGCTGGAGGAGCGACTCGGAGAGATACCTGTGGTGGTCTCAACAGAAAGGGGGGTGGTCCTGCGGCCTCTGATCACCCCGTGGAGTGTGATGTTATAGGGGGTGTTGGCCCTGAGGCCTGTGACATTCCCAGAGCGCAGCCCCCCCGGGACTGTGACATTCCGGCTCTCCTCGGGGTTCCCAGCCTCCTGCACCTGGATGACAAAGCTCTCATAGGCCCCGTCGTCTGCTGTCCAGGTGAGCTGGAAACCATCCCAGCCAGCCTTGGAGACTGACAGCTTCCCAAGCTCGGGTTCCTCCTCTGGATAAGGACAGAGAGTCAATCTGTTACTCGGGTTACAGGGCAGGGGTGATGTCGGACTGTTTAATGATGTTCTGGGTTACTGCATTTCACAGAGATGCCCTCACACACATTTACATTCTCAGCTGCCCCAGATAACTGTGAGTAAAGTCTCTCTGGAGAGAACTACAAGTAAAGTCTCTTTAGAGACATGGTAAAATAGAAAAGTAAGAAAAGAACTGCAATAATTAATATTACCCACATTAATACTAAAAGACTGCTCACAGAAACCACCTTACACCTGCCAGTGTTTTGCCAACAACTCCCTATGAGACAAATATTACTGTAATCACTCTGCTACACTCCTAACAACTCAATGTTTGCCATTCTGAAGTAACTGTGGTGTCAGGACAGGAAGACACTGAGTTTAGAGCAGTTGGGATTCAGATGTTTATGTTTTTAATTGTGTCCACATGAATGATGCTGTTTATGCTTCCAAACTATTTCTATTACAAAACAATAAAGAGGAGGAAAATTCCCCCGTGTTTGCACGTCTATAAATGGATTTGTCTTCCTTATATCACATTATTCTGTGCACAAAACACTTCCTGCAGGCACAGGAGGTTGGATTTTCAGAGTTCCTGCTATTAATCTAAAATTGAAATGTGCATTCACAGCGATGAACATTCTCAGAAGCCACCACGGGGGTGGCCAAGGAAGTTGGGAACCATCAGAGCTCTTAAATCTCTGATGCTGTTAAATCTGAAAGCTGAGCTCATTTTCTCAGCAAGAATAGAAAGTCCTTTGTTCCAAAGGAAATACAACTGACTTCTTAACATCAGCAGTGACATGGGGCAATGACAGAGTTATATCTGTTTTTTTCTACTTGAGCTATCACTGACCTGAGGGTTACAAAGACTTTCTAGCACATTTCTTATTTATTTGCATTGTTGACACATAAACACTATAATAAGAACAGAGTCTCTCTGAATAATCCCATTTTGCTTGACTAAGAATTTCAAGAAGTGCTGCATGAAGGGGAGTGGATCTGATTTGCCAATTGTAAACTTCAACTTAAGCTTTCTGCATATTTTATGACAGGAGTTAAAGGAGCTCTGGAATAAATGAAAATCAGGCTCAGCAGCATCACTCAGCTAAATTTGCTCCTTGTAAAAACAAAGTGATTATTGTCTGACTGCTCAGAGGCAGCTGGGGTTGGATTTTCAGAAGTTGAGCAGTCATGTATCACAGTTATATTCAGTGAGATTCATTAATAAATCAGTAAATTGCTACGACTCAGGAACATAGAAGTTTTGATGAGTTTTTCCCATCCTGCTAGAAGGAAAGAGATTGTTTATGAAAGAACAATGATGTTCAGCAACAAAAAAATGCATTAATCCAGAGCTGTCTGGCTTTACAAGGAACAGAAAGAAGATTCACTGAGGTAAAATATGAATCCTGTCAAAATATCACTGTTATCTGGAAAAGAGAAAGCAGGGCAACAAAGGAACTGGTTATCAGAAATAATGATCTGTTGGTGGCAACAGAAACAAAGAAAACAAACACATTCCCTTAAAATGAAAATGAAACAAAAGTTACAGTAAGGCTAAATCTTGATGTTGATTATAATGAGTATATTATCAGTATATTATCAGCACAGGTTAAAACAATTCAGGTTTCTCTGAAGAATGCTCATTCTTCTTCAAGATGCAGAGTCCCTTTTCCTCCCATTTGTTCCTCATGCACATCTGAGACAGAAGCAACATGACCCCCTCATGCTCTCTAGGCACCAAGAGATTCTCACATGAAATCATGAACCAATCTGGAGACCTCCAAAAGCCTCATTAATTACAGCATCCATTAGAGATGACAAAACACCCACTGTCACAAGAAATAGCGAGGGATGATGTTTCTTACTTCAATAAAAAAAAAAGAGAGAACAAACCATTGAGAGATGAGGCTGTTGTGGCCTTGTAGTTGGTGGGAAATGATCTGTGTGTTTCCATGTAAATATTTTACCTCCTGTTGGCAGTTTGGGTTTGAGAGATGGACAAAGGCAGTCATTAGTCTCCAGATCTGAACTTACACACTGGTACTTTGATGATTATTGATCTCAGCCCTGTGTCTATAGGTTTAATTCCTCATGAAATTCACATAATGAGGTAAGAGGTGGAAAAAACGTTTTCAGAAAGGTAACTCCCAATGTGTTACAATCTTTTTTTTTTCTTCTCTGACATCGCCACTTCCATGCCAACGCTGCAAACTGCTTGTAATCTTTCTTGTACTTGAACCACATCCCAGACAAACACCTGCAGCATTTTGCTATTCTCACATGCCTTACCAATAGCAAATGCATCAAAATCTCTCTTTACATGCAATTTGAAGAGAGATTTGATGCTACATCACCTTAAAAGCTGAATGGGGCATTTTCTGCATCACTCAAGGCTCTCATTCCATAACAAGAAGAGTTTTATCCCATGCAAAAGGAAGAATAAACCAACTAAGAGGAAATGCATCACTCACAAAGCCCAGAATCTCTGCAGTGGAACAGCCACATGGAAATGAAGGTCTGTATTTTAAAGCAGCAAAGGAACACATGGCTCATGAATCCATGGAAAATACCTGTAGTAGCTATGGCTTCCAGGGACTGAGAGAGCTGGCCTTGAGTGCTTCCATGGAGGTTAATCTGGAATTTGTGCCAGCTGGGAGACTGGGGATTTCTGTTTCCTTGATGGTTTCCCAGCAAAAATATTCCTGTGTTCTGTTCAAACTGCTCAGGTCTTTCAGAGTGATAAAGAACTGATCAAATCCCTCACACCCTTTCAGGGGGAAACTTCTGAAGGTCTTGGGAGTTATATTGAGGTAATGAAGAGCTCAGTGACTTCTGAGCTGGGCAGGTCAAAGGACACCAAAACCAGAGCAGGAGAATCAGTGCTGAGGGTGCTTAAATAACTGAGAGGATTAAATGAGGTTGCACTGATAGATTCTCCAGGTGTGACTAGAAGGTAAAACACAAGTTGAAATTTGCTGATGATAAACACCCAAATAAACCAAACTACATCTGCTTCAGCACAGTTTGTGTGCTTTGCATTGAGGAGCTCCAAGAGCAGAGAAAAAGGAGGAGTTCTCCTTTTCTTGGAGACTGAATCCAGGCCAAAAGCAGAGGCAGCATCACCAAGCACACCATGGTTCTCCCAGAACCACAATAACAGCAGGTCCAGAGCAACAACCAGAGCTGAGCTCAAATGCTTCCAGCAGAGAAAGGGCACATCCTCAGTTGATGTAAATCAGTTCTCTTTGATGAGAGCAAAGAGCTTTGCTAATTTACATCGGTGAGGATTTGAACCCTCAGCCTCAAACATGCCTTTTGTCTGTACTGCAGCCCATCAGTCACTGCTTCTGCCACAAACCAGGAGTGAATCCATGCCAACTATCACAAACACAGCCAAAGGCAGAAATCAGCCACAGCAGAACCCTGTTAAAGATCAGTTAAAAACAGGCATTGGGATACATGCAGAAAAAAGTGGAGGGGGACACACAACCTTAGTTAAACACTAGGGCAGAAAGAACTTGAGCAATCTTTCTTTACAGAGATCCCAAGGAAGGGAAAGGGAAAAGCCTTGGCCTTCAACATGCTGAATGATCCCTGACTTATCCTGTAGCACAGCCAGATTCTGAAAATCTGAGGAGTGTGGAGTCACAGAGAACGTGTTTGTGATCACAGCCCCAAGGCAAGAGGCAGGTGACTTCTTTGACATGCAGAATTATCTCCTCATTAGTGGAAACCCACATCATTTCACACCTCAGTGACTTCCTTGCTTTCATGCTCCACTTGCATTCAATTAAGAGAGAGCAAGTCATCCAGCACCATCAATCAGCTCAGCACAAATATGTACTCAGGATTCATTATCTGTCTCCAAATGAACACATTTATCAGAAAGAAATATATTTTCAGAGGAGTAAAATCAACTAGAAATGTTCTCAAATAAAAGGAGAAATGTTATCTTGAAAATATACTTTCAGGGCAAGCACAGATGTAAAAACATTGTTTTCTGCTCACCCCAGGAAGGAGAGAAGCCTGTAAGGCAAACAGGGATTTATGTTCACATGTATCATTGATATTCTTGAATCAGGAAAGGACTGTCCTTAAATCACCCCAGACATGATTAGAATCAGGCTGCAACCTGGAGACAACCATGTTCTCATCACACCACCACACATGTGACACATGATGGTATTTGCATTCTTTTCAGACTCCTTTGTTAAACCACTTTCCCCTCTCTCAAGTAATTAAAGTGGGCTAACAGTGCCTGTGCACCTCTGAATTTCATGAATAGGCCACTGCAGCACCAGAAACCAGAAATACCACAGCAGCTACCACGAAAATCCTCCTATGGGAATCAGGTTCCAGGTACTCTCAGCTGAGAAAATGGACCTTCTTCCCCGGCAGATTTAGTTTCCCAGTGGTCAGCACTGCAGTTTCCCGTGGGGCTGGTTCACCTAATCACTCTTCCTAATGTTTCCCTGAGTTTGTATAGAAAAGGGTGGTGCAATCTAAGAGCAGAGGAGCCAGGAGAGGAAGAGGGACTGACGCACAACACAGACAAGGGCCTCTGGTAAACAGCATAAATCTGCCTGAAAACATTCAGCAGAATGGAAAAGTTGCTTCTCCAAGCCATGCTCGGCTGTGCAAACCCACTTCCAGAGGCAGGAGAGTATCACATCCACGATCCATCAACAGTTGCTGCACAATCTGGGTCCCTCAGCAGAGGAATTCGAGCTTGGCTCTTGGTTTCTCTCATGTTCACTCATTTGTCTCCCTGGGCCTCTCATGCCTGATGGATTACCATCCCTCCTGCCCCAGGCCCCACATTGTGCTCTGCAGGCAGAGCTCCAGAACCAGAGCAGGGGAGAACAAAGCTGCAGTCTGGCTGCTCAGCTTCCTCCGAGCTGGGTGACGTGCTCACCCTGCAGATTAGCTGGAGACCTGATGGAACATTCTCAAGATGTGCTGCCACAAAGGGCCTTCCAACGAGTAAAAAAGCTCATTTCTGAGTCAGGTCTTAGTGCTGGGTGGGGCCTTTGTGATACCTTCATTAAGAACAGGAAGGAGGTACCCGTTGGAGCCACAGCTCCAGAGAACAGCTCTGTTCTCCAGCCAACCCATACACCTTGATTTTATGGGAAGTGTTAGCTTGGAGGCCAGGGATTCCCTGGGCAGGAAGGTCTCTGCAGTGGGCACAGCTCCAAAACTCCACCCCAAAACCAGTGCAGACTCCTGTATTCACACAGCACGAGGCACTAAAGCTGTGGTCTCTTAGCCTCGAGACCTCGAGGTCCTTCAGCACATCTCCTGAATCCCAGATGCCTCTGGAGCAGGAAAACTCCCAGAGAAAGGAAGCTCCTCTTGGTCAGGACTCACTGCCTGAATTAGGGTTACACTATATAGAGCTACAGGAGACAAACAAGCAAGTGGCAGAGTGAAAGGTTTAGTCTTTCCTTTCCAACAAAATAAAATGACATTTTGCCATCCCTTGAATGCAGAATCATGGATATCAGTTAAAAAAAAATATTTGTCACTTGAGCTGCACTTCATCCACATGAAGAGGCAGAAGCAACAGACATCTGCCATCCTACAGTATAGAAGATTTTGTGACATGTCCTCTGCTAGAGGTTCATGAGTCCTGAACATTTCAGCTGCCTGTGAGGGGAGAGCTGATGTTCACAAGTAGGTAACAGGGAGAATGTGAGAGGAGAGAGAAGTCTCCAAGAGAAGATTTTCAGCTCTGGAGTTGAAAGAAGCTTTAAAACGCTATAAAATCCACTGTGCAAGCAAATAAAAATAAGATGTGGGAAGCTCCTGGATACCTGCTGGCAGGGAAGCCTGACTGAACCATCCAGAGGATGGGAAGAATATGAGGTGAAAACCTGGCAATTTGCAGGAGCAAAGGAAACCCAAAAGAAAAACTGAGCCCTTTTGCAGCTGCTGGCTCCCTTGTTCAGCAGGGGTGGCACAGACCCTATAAACAGCAGGATTGCCTCCTCCACCCATGGGGAAGAGCCAATCCAGCCCTAGCTGTGCTGCTGGCATTGCCCACTTCAATCATCCCTCTCTCTCTCTCCCCCTGGTTGCTCCAAGGACTTTCCTCAGCAGTGCAAAGGATCTGAGGTCCCCCAGGGCTCTGCAAGAGAAACAAGTTTGTTTGGCTCAGCCTGAGGACTCCAGGACCTCCCAAGCGCTGGAAAAAGAGGACTGACTTGAAGGAAGATGGAAAAGCAAACTGAAGAGCCCACTTGTGTTGTACTGCTCAGGCTTCCAGAGCACTTCTGCTCCCCGTGCTCGTGTTTGCATTTGTCCATTCCTACGTAGGAGGGAGGTCACAGAGACAGGTTATTCAACTGCTGCTCCGTTGCAGGGAGCTCTGTGTTTACTGGCTGCTCTGAGCAAAGACATAAAACAAATGCACTGGCCAGATGAAGGGATTTCTAAAGAAAAATAAGAAAAAAAATAAAAAGCCAAACCGGGGAAAAGCAGCCACCTTGTGAAGCTTTGCAAGCTCCTGGTGGAAAGAGCAGACTGTGAAATTCCACAGCAGGTTGTTGCTGCCTTTTCACCATCTGTGCAGAATTCTTTTGAGACCTCTGAGCCTTCAGACAGACAGGGAAACAGAGAACTTTGGGAAAACTGCAGCCTGCTCACTCCTGCCACATAAACCTTCAGATCCTTTTGTATGTTGTGCCTCAAGACTTCCTAATTTTTCCCTGCCTTGGACTGGATTTCCCTGCCTGCCTGAGGCATCAAACGACTAATTCAGTGCTGATGGTCTCCTGTAGTTTACACCACACCATACAACCCTCTGCTGTGCTGGATTACTGTCTCTATAAAGCATCAGAGGTAGTGCTGGCATGAACTACCAGGGAATATGAGCCTAGTTTTGATCAGTTCAAATAGTTATTATATTTATATATAGTTTATTTATTTATAATAATAGTAATTGTGTATAGTATAGTTAATTAATTTGTAAAATCCACAATGTCTGGCATGTGTTTACCTCATAGATGGTGTTTGGGAAGAAAAGGATAAACACCTTGATATCTGCTAAAGACAATAATTGTAGCCCAGCTGATTCTGATTTTAGTTAGTCTCTGCTCACTTAGAGCAGTTCAAGCTTTGCCTCACAGAGTTTGAGGTGAAGGCACATAAAGATTCAGGATTTATTTGTGTTCTGCACCGAGGTGTAATTCTGTGTGCAACAAACTTTGGGTCAAAATGCTTCACAAAGAATAAAACCTTGTTCAGTGAGTCCACTGCCACTGGTCAGTTGGAGTGGTTTGGACAAAGAGAGATGGTAGAAATGGACCTCTTTTTAAAGATAAGTCACAGTATCCAGTGGAAATGGTGGCTGGAACCAGATTTAGGGCAGTCACCTTTCCCACTTTTGGATGAGAAAACTGAAAAAGGGCAACATCAGAGCCCTGCTGACCCTGCTGAAGCATGATGGGTGGAGGGATGCTGTGAAGAGAATTCATTAGGCAGGAACAAGCAGTGTTAAACACATTCTGGTTGCTCTTCCTCTCAGATTTTGGCTGTAGAAAACAAAGCAAGTTATAACACACAAAAAACCCCAGCCTCATGTAAAACAAAGTAGGAGCTCTGCATTTCATGCAGGACCAGTGGCTGTCCTTTGTGAAACCTCTCAAAAAATAAGCAAGAAATCCTTGAGAACATGAAGCTAAACACAGTAGGCAGGGAAATGCACAGTTATCCCTCAGTGTGGCATGTTAAGCAGAGTTAAGTCTGAGGCAGATTTTCTAAGCCTCAGACACGGCTTAGAAAATCAGGTGAGGTTGTCCTTGGGCTGGTCCTGTGCAGGGCACCCACCAAAAGCTGTTACTCACCAGTGGAACCCTTGACAGTCGTGGGTTTGCTTTTGTGCCTGCCCTTCTCTGCCACCAGGCTGATGGTGTACTCTGTGCCTGCATCCAGCCCTCTGAGGATGAAGGAGGTGCTGTCCACCGGGATCTCCACTTCGCCCCTCTTGCCAGAGGGACTGGTGTAAGCGAGGCGGTAGCGGTCGAACTTGGCCACCGGTCTCCTCCAGCGAAGGGCCAAGGTGGTTTCAGTGGGGTCACTGACTTCCAAATCCTTGGGGTTATCAAGATCTACGAGTTGAAAAAAAGCACAGCTGAGATGTCTCTGAACTGCCCTGGGACAGGCACAGAGAGAATAACATCCCCACTGGGTGTCTGGGCACAGCTCAGGGTCTTATCCACCTTCTGGAGTTTGTGAAGCCCATGTGGGTAGAGGGTGATGAAGTTCTCTTTTACAAACAAACCACACTAGGGCAGATTTCCCCCACTGACACTCACTTCACATGCAGGAGAGGAAGAATTAAAGCCTTCAGAGAACTTACCTGGGAAAAGGGGGGAGTTGTGAAAAAAATTATGGATTTGAAGGTCAGTCAGGACTTGCAACCACCAAGGCTGCACTCATGGCCAGATCAACATTTTGGCCATCACTACCTGCCAGAAATCCTCACAACTAGAGGATGGCCAAATCAGTGTAAGCATAATTACCACCGAGGAGCTCACCTGGAGATGAAAATCCCAGACCACTGAGAAATCCTCGTACAGGAAAAAGAAGCCACACTCAGAGGTCAAGATCTTTAGGGGAAAGATTTTTCCCTTGAGGGAAAATGCCCCATTGGGAGCAAACTGAAATAAAGAACTTTCTAAAATAGTTTTTACTGCATCATTTGGAAATGAAAGAGTGGCCCCACAGGACTTGGTGCTTCCTCCAGAGCAGAAAGGGGGGTCAGGTAGGTCAGGTACTCACCAGTGCCAGCGTTGATGGTAGCGGGGGCACTTTCCCTGTCGTTCCTCACTGCTGTCACTCCAATGCCATATTCAGTTCCAGGCCTCAAACCTAAGAGGTGAGGAAAAGGAATATGAGTTCCTGTGCATGGAATACACCTACAGGCATTTGTTTTAACAAGGAAGGCTCAATGTGTGCCAGGTAAGATGGATGCTTTCCTGAGTATGCAGGGAATCGAGGTTTCAGCTAACCCTGAACTGATGTTAATAAATCTTTATTCCACTTATATATCAAAGGATAAAGATTATGGCTGACTGACATTGCATTTTGGACACTGCAAGTGCACAATCAGAGGCAGCCTCTACTTTCCAGAGCTCACAGTGGGAGTAGCTCTGCCAAAGAAAAGCAGGTTGGCACCCACACAACATGGAGGAAGAACCACGACTGGGAAAGCAACTTGCAGGTACACAGAGAAGCTGCAGACTGGCACCAGTAAATACCATCCCTGGCACATGCAAACACCTTTGGAACTCAGGGTGTGAAGCCCCCTCCACAGAGATGTGGAGCTGCCCAGAACTCAGGGAACTGCCTGGTGGGATTGAGGGATGCACGTGGAAGGGAAATGGCTACAAACCCTTCTGCTGGCTGGTTATCCACCTGCAGGCATGGACAGACACATCCCAGGGATTTTAATTTAACTGGGTGCACTTAAAAATCAGAGAATCACAGAATGGTTTGGGTTGGAAGGGACCTTAAAGATCATCCAACCCCCTGCCATGGGCAGGGACACCTTCCACTAGCCCAGGTTGCTCCAACCTGGCCTTGGACACTCCCAGGGATGGGGCAGCCACAGCTTCTCTGGGCAACCTGTGCCAGGGCCTCCCCACTCTCACAGGGAACAATTCCTTCAGTACATCTAATCTAAACTGTGTGACCCACCTGTGAGTGTAGCTCTGGTTGTGGCTTGGTTGCCCTTTGGCACCGTGATCTCCACGTGGTCTCCACCAGAGATGGGGGCAAACTTGATTCTGTAGTTGTCGACGTTGGCGTGGCTGTTCCTCCACTCCAGGGTGATGCTGTTGTCTGTCTGGGACACTGGCTTCAGGTTTCTGGGAGCATCCAAGTCTGTAATCCATCAAGCAATAAATAAATAAATAGGAATATTTCTCTTATGACAACAGTCTCTTCTAATAATACTTTTTAAAAGGTGAAATGACCCACAACACTGAAGTTAAGTTTCTCTTCACCTGATACGACTTAACTACACCAAGCAGATTTCTTTTGGCATAAAATGGAGAGTTCAGCAGCTTTGGAGAAAACATCACTTCAAGAAATTAAACTTTTATCTCCTCAGACTAAAATAACATTTTCAATAGTAATAAATATTTTTTATTACAAAATAGGCTTGTGGAAAAATGTATTTGGATGAAAACACTATTTTCCTTTTTAAATGCCTCAGCTTTCAAAAGGAAAAATGCTGCTAAGAACAAAGAACTGATCATTTCTAGAGTTTCTGTTCAGTAAATATCTTGCATTTGTGGCTGAAACTCTGAGTCTCAAAAAAAAGGTGAATATTATGTAGAAATTCAATGGGCTCTTCACTGTTCACACTTCAAATCCTGCTCTGAAGGAACAACTGTATTTTAGGATGAAAAAAGAGGTAATTCTCTCTGTACCATTTTCTCCCTTAATGCATCAAACCTTGATAACATGCTACAGGACCCACACTTTCATAAAACATTCCCAGGAGCACTGAGGAGCAAAGTCAATTTATAAAAGCACAACAGAAAACATTTGCAGAACTGGAGAAGGAAAAAAACCCAGTTCTTTGTTAATCTGATACATATTTAGACAAGAAACAAGGCCTTAGATGGAACAGGAGCCATGGAAGACCTTTAGCTCAGCAGACAGAAAAATAATCCAGAGGAACTTGTTTCTGAGAGATTAAGGGTACGAGACACAATAACCTAAATCCCATTTTCAAAATATATTTAGATTTTCAATATTTTGTCGAGCCAGGAAAGCATATGAGGCACAGACAAAAAAAAACATTCTCCACTTTCATGTCCCTCTCTAAACGTGCTGATTCCATGCTGGTCTCCAGCCTCCTACCTGTGACAAACACTTCTTTCACAGGGTCACTTTCCATGTCCCCTCGACGAGAGACAAGTGTCACTTCATACTCTGTGTGCGGCCTCAGGTTTCCAATGGAATATTGATTTTCATCTTCAGAGAGCTCAATGGTTGTCCTGTCCCCTGGGATGTCCTTGGGGCCATAGGTGAGCTCTATGTCTTCAACTTCAGCCAGGGGTTTGGACCATGTGATGAGGGCTGTGGTGTCCGTGACGTCTTTTGCCTCGACCTGGCTGGGGGCATCAAGCTCTGTTATAAAAAAAAAAAGAGAGAAGAAAAAGGTGTTTTTTGAAAGAAATCTTGCCATAAAAAACACAGACATTCTTATGCTTTTAATTGCTGATTCAGAGCAAAATTGAAATTAGTGACTTTGACCAAGTTTTATTATTTTTGTTTACTCTCTTCCAACAGGTTTAGACTCCAAATGGAATAATTCCATCAGAAGCAAATTCATCAACATTCATTCACATCGGAAGCTGCCAGAGGAAAGGCAAGCAAGAACCCTGAGAGCTTCTCCAGCTCCATACAAACATCACCAGGATGAAAAAAATTTTAGTTCCTGTTGATGTACATTTTGAAAAAGAGTAAAAGTGCATTCTGCCTGCTCCCTTCTAGCTGAACATAAATTTCCTTTCCTCTGTAGGTAATTTGGAAAGGAATTAAATCTCCTTCACGAATTAATTTTTCATTAGCAGCTCCACTACTTCCTTTTCACCCCTATGAATTCACAGGATAGAGCTTGGGTTTCTCTCTGTTTAAAAGTTTGGTTTTAAAAAAAAACAACAATGTTTGCTGTTGGCCAACAAAATACAGGCCAAATACAGGTTGTCCTTACTTGTTGTTATCACTTTGGACAGTCCAGGTCCTCTGGTGTTGTTTTTCACTACATGAATGGACACATTGTACTGTTGCCCAGGTGCCAAACCTGGCTGCATGTAAGATGTCTCTGGCCTTTTCAAGCTGCTGGTTATATCTCCATTATCATCCTTTTTCTGCAACACATGGAACAATAATCTGTCAGTATAACAGAAAAAAAGCCAGGATTTTTCACTCCACATGAACACACAGGAAGCTGCTTCCTCACCATGTTGTGGAAGACCAGCTCCCAGCCATCAAAGGAAAAGTTCAGAGGGTCCCACTCCACCTGGACGGACGTTTCTCGAACAGATTTGAACCTCAAACCCTCTGGAGCAGGGAGATCTGGGGCAGAAAAAAGGGAAATCCTCACATGAGCAACAAGTTCCCATAAATAGGGCACGGGGTGGGACATCTTTCCACCACTAGAAGTATCTGCCGTGTAGGGAAGTGCAGCTGAGCTGGTCAAACCACCTCCCAACCAGTTATTCTGTCTTTGGAGAGGCTTTCCTCTGAGCTGGTTTGGATGTCACCCTAAAGTAAAATGAATTTTGACCTAGAAACCTCTTTTTTGTGCCCTCTTGACTGTCCCTGGTGTGGACATTTGCAGGCAGGTGAGCTGAATCCTGCCCCAGGTCTCTAAAAACGAGCTCAGGGACAGAAGTCAAAGAGCACCTTTTGAGGCTGTTTAGATATGACTGTGATGTGCACAAAATATAGAGGAAGATGAACAACAAAAGGACAGACAGGCAGATAAAAGTCTAGTTGTGGTAAAACTAAAGATGCAAAAAAAATATAACCTCCTTTTAACCAAACCAGTTTGAATTCAAGTGATTTCATATTGCTTTTCACACACTGTACATTTTTTATCAGGTTTTTTTCAGGAATAATGACCAGAATTTTAAAATGTACATAATAATAGAGAAGCCAAGGTTCTTAATTTGCAAAGACCCCATGGTGTTAATTGGGAGGCACAGCAAAGAGCAGAAGAGCCTGTGAACTGTGTTTTTAACACAGTCATTGGCACTGGAAAAGAATAGAAAATGAAAGTGCAAAAGGCTGTCTCTGTCCAGAACAGATGAACTGAAACTAGAAAATACAAAAGAAATAATATCTCCAAGAGAAGGAGGCAAATCAATACAAATAAATTGCAAATAGAAGTTAAAAAGAAATAAAGTTCCCAAAAAGGGAGGCAAATCAACATAAATGAATTGAAAATAGAAAATAAAAAATAAACAATGTCCCACAAGATGGATGTGAATCAATACAAATGATTTGAAAATAGAAAACACAAAATGCATAATAATACCCCAAAATAAGGGGTGCAAATCAATGCATGCCATGGAATGGACAAAAGGATGGATCGAGGGAATGTTAAACTCACATGTGGCTACCCTGGCACTGACTGGGATACTCTTCTTGTTTTTAAGGATGGCAAAGACCCGGATAAAATATTCCACCCCCGGCTCCAGCTCGTGGATGGTGGCAGCTGTCTGGTTTCCTGGCACAGTGAACTGCATGTCCAAGCCCCCGGTGCTGGTGGGGACGTAGGTGACCAGGTACTCATTGACAGGATTCTCGTGTTTCCATTCCAGGTTGACAGTTTTATCCGTCACGTTGGTCACCGTCAGCTCGGTTGGAGGAGACACTGGGAGCAAGGGGGGGGGAAAGAAAATAAAGTTATAAGAAGTTTTCATGGCTCGGAAAATAACGACTTCCCCAGTTTTCCCATTTTCCCAGGGATTTCATGAGAATTATCTAACAGGGGCTGGGGAAGCCACGGCCCACAAATTGACTGCTGAGGAGAGGAATGTTCGGCTGATGGAGACCACAGACATTTCCAAAATCACGGGGCCAATTCCTACCCTCACACTCGCACACAACCTCTGGCTGACTGTGTTCCAGCTCCTCCTCTCGTGGCTGCAGCACAAGACTGTTATAGCTGCGTCCCCAGGGGCTCAGATGGTTCATTCAACTGCCAGCAACACGTGATTGTAGAGCTGCAAGTCCTGGGATTTGCGCAGATTTTCCAAAGTAAAACCAAACATTGTTATTTTAGTAAATACTGCCAATAGATCTCCACGTGCAAGAGCACAAAATGGAGCTTAGGCCTCTTCTGGAAGGAGGAGATGAAAGATGGGAAATTTCTTTTTAAGGGTATTCATTGTCTTTTATGGTGTTCTCAACCCCAAAGCATTCTTTGATTACCCTACAAAAATTTAGTTTCCAAATTTCTCCCCTGGGATCTACTAAAGAAAACTACCTCATTTATAGTGTAAAGCCTGTCATTATCCAACTGCCAAAATTCTCTATCAATTTCCATGGAGTAAGTGGTAGTGGGAAACTCAGCATGGGACTTTAGAGCTGAGTTTCCATTCCAGCCTACTCCATGATTTTCCTCTAAGCTTCTGTCAGCTCTAATACACACTCCTCCATATAAATATAGAAATGTATATATAAAACCTCCATATAAAAATAATAAATAAATTATATATATAGAAATAAATAAATATAAATATAGGTATAAAACAAATATATGTTATATATAAATCTATATGTATAAATAATTACAGGTATAAACAAATATATATATATATATATATATATATATATAAAATACACACACATCTGTGTATTAAGAAGACTCTGGATACATCTCCCTCTCCTCCATAGCTAAAACAGTTTCTTTCAGATGCCCTTTTTTTTAGCATCAAGAGGTACTATGAGAAGGTGAAATATCATGGTGACAAATCCCAGGCAGGGCTGGTTACAGCTCCAGTGACATTGTGGTGGGAGCAGAATCACAGAATCAGCCAGGTTGGAAAAGACCTCCGAGATCATGGAGTCCAACCTGTGACCCAACCCCACCTTGTCACCCAGACCATGGCACTGATGCCACATCCAGGCTCTGCTCAAACCCCTCCAGGGACGGGGACTCCACCCCCTCCCTGGGCAGCCCATTCCAAGGGCTGATCCCTCTCTCTGCAAACAACTTCTGCCCAATGGCCAACCTAAACCTGCCCTGGGGCAGCTCAAGGCTGTGCCCTCTTGTCCTGCTGCTGGTTCCTGGCAGCAGAGCCCGACCCCCCCCGGCTCCCCCCTCCTGGCAGGGAGTTGCAGAGAGTGAGAAGGTCAGAAATGAATGATAAAGTCTCCAGAAATGGAGATAACAATTGCACAGCAACACCATTATCATTCTGTTGTCTTCTGACCACCTGAAGTCGCCACAAACTACCACACTGTGTAACCCTGACAATTAAAGGGTGTCATGATGTTGTTACAACCCTGAGTCAAGTGTCTGGACTACACTGAAGAAAAGCAGCAACAGGGCCCGGCTTTATGGAGAAGATTCACAGAACCTCCAAAGCTGCTGGATGGACACAGGGAGTGTGTGCATCCGAGGGGAAGTGGTTCTGACATCGCCACCTACCATCAGCGCAGTCCTCGCCCATGTACCCGTCCTCGCAGACACACCGCCCGTCCACGCAGCGCCCGGCGTTGCTGCAGTCGCTGGGACAGGCCCGTTCCCGGCAGTCCTCGCCCACGAAGCCCTCCTGGCACACGCAGCGCCCGTCCACGCAGAGCCCGCGCTGGTGGCAGTCGTTGGGACAGGCCAGCTCGCCGCAGTCCTCCCCGGTGAAGCCGTTGTCGCACTCACAACGCCCCTCCACGCAGCGCCCGCGGTGGTGGCAGTCCTGGGGGCACCGCAGCTCCGCGCAGTCCTCGCCGGTGAAGCCCTCGTCGCACACGCACTGCCCGTTCGCGCACAGCCCGCGGCCCTGGCAGTCGTTGGGGCACCGCAGCTGCCCGCAGTCGTCCCCGGTGAAGCCCTCGTGGCACTGGCACTGCCCGTTCACGCAGAGCCCGCGGTTGCTGCAGTCCTGGGGGCACCGCAGCTCCCCGCAGTCCTCCCCGACGAAGCCCTCGTCGCACACGCACTGCCCGTCCACGCAGCGCCCGCGGCCGTGGCAGTCGCTGGGGCAGCGCAGCTCGGCGCAGTCCTCGCCCAGGTACCCCTCGTGGCACTGGCACTGCCCGCCCACGCAGCGCCCGCGGTGGTGGCAGTCGTTGGGGCACCTCTTCTCGCCGCAGTCGTCGCCCACGAAGCCCTCGTGGCACACGCACAGCCCGTTCTCGCAGCGCCCGTGGCCGTGGCAGTCGCTGGGGCAGGCGAGCTCCCCGCAGTCGTCCCCGGTGAAGCCCTCCTCGCACAGGCACGTCCCGTTGAGGCAGCGCCCGCGGTCGAAGCAGTCGTTGGGGCAGATGAGCTCCCCGCAGTCCTCCCCGGTGTAGCCCTCCTCGCACACGCACTCGCTGTCCACGCAGCGCCCGCGGCCGTGGCAGTTGTGGGGGCACAGGGGCTCGCCGCAGTCCTCGCCGGTGAACCCCTCGTGGCACAGGCAGCGCCCGCCCACGCAGCGCCCGTGGGCGCCGCACCCCCAGGGGCAGAGCTCCTCGCCGCAGGCCGGGCCCGTGTAGCCCTCGAAGCACACGCAGAGCCCGTCCACGCACTTGCCCTGGTCGTTGCAGTCGGAGGGACACGAGGCCTGGCTGCAGTTGGGGCCCTTCCAGCCCGGCTCGCACACGCAGCCGCAGATCTCCACGCTCCAGTTGCCGTGCCCGCTGCAGTAGGGGGTGGTGTCCAGGCGACCTGTAGAACGAGCCAGAAAACCCATGTGGGGTGAGGTGCACGTGGGTACCCCCCAGAAATGCCCGAGGCAGCGGAAGGAATCCCGAAAAGGTTTGTTCTGAAGACGAGAACGGTAAAAGCTTCCAAAGGAAAAGCTGCACCGGGCTGCAAAGCAGCACCGGGCCTGAGCAACACTCACCTGCTGGTCCCTCTTCCCCCCCCAGCTCTCCCCACTGGCTTCAGAGTCCTGCAACATCTGCTTATCTCTCTGCATGCCAGAGACACAGAGCTTTTCAACTGTCTCTGGAATACAGAAGGGAAAGGAAATAAAACCCATCTAATTCCTTTGAGAAAGGCACTCTCCAGGTAGGGAAGACTTCCTAGGTGACACCTGCCTCCTTGAAGTGAATTCTTCTGGCAAAAAGGGTGTTTACCCTCACAACCCATTATTCTCTTGGCCCTGGGATGCCTTAGGCCGGCGTGGCACACAGGACCTAAAAAGGCTCTGATTTTCCTGACTCCTGATGGGAAAAACTGAAACTTCATTCACAGTAGCCTGGAATGGCCAAATAAGGAACAATACAATCTTAGAGAAGTCCTCGAGAATTAGATAAGGGATGTAACTCAAACAGACAGGATGTAAACTAAGCTCTGTGTGCCCAGATCAAGAACAAATGTTACAATTTTGGTGAAGAAGCACAATGATGCTGTGGTTGCTCAAGAACTGAGGTCAAGACAAGGAAGATGACCAGGAAGGACTAAAGAAGGACTTCCAATAGGGGTGTGACTGTGTAAACAAACTAATGAAAATGTATAAAGCAAGGAAGAATATCTAATGACCATGTAAAGAGTATGTGTAATAAAAAGCCCTGTCCATCTGTCATTTGGCAGCTTTGATCAGAGGAGCTCTCCTCTGAACGTCCAGCGTGCTGAATAAAGGATGCCCTTTTTAACCCCTGCAAATTGGTGTTAAGAAGTTTGTTTCTGCTGCTTTTTTCTCTCCCCACAGGACATAATTTCCAGAATCACCAAAGTTTTTGAAAGAGACTATCTCTTTTTTTCTCCAGCAAGATTTGTTTTACCGGGAATCCCTTAATGCCAGGGAAGAGCCCCTGCCAACTGCTTGGTAAATGAGCGTGCTGGATTCCTCCTCCTGCCTCAAAATCCTCTTCCACTGACTGAGCAGCTTTCCTGACCACTTCATTAGGGAATACACCATGAAATGTTACTCATCCATTCACTCCAGAACATAAAAAGCCAGGCAACCGTCAGTATCAGCAGCTGTGAGAGCAGCTCTGTGCTCAGAGCGACATCACTCCTGAGAAGACCTGTGTTTCCTCTCTTGTATGACCAGACTTTTCCCTCAGTTTAAAAACCAGTTGGACAGACACCTTTTTTCCTGCTTCTCTAACTATTTGTGCTTGTCTGCTGCCTTATGTCCTGCCGTATTTTTATTGGTCTCTAATAAAGAAAACTTGGAAAGGAAGATGGTTACATTGGCAGCTTCCTCAAGGGGACAAAACCTGGAGCCAAGAGCTTGGACTGTGTGAGTTTTAATCTCGACTCAGGCTGTCACCGTGCCCAAGTGCTGTCCATGCTCAGTGCCACAGCTACAAAGTGTCCCAGGCCAACTTCTGACCCACAGATCCACAAACCCGTGAAACTGTGAATGAATGTTCCCTGCACGCGGGCCAAACACATTCCCAGTTTTGATCATGTTTCAAATTTAACAGGTTGACTTGTGCTCATTCTTTAAACAGATTTGAGTGTCTACTCTAAACAACTTGGACAGCCAGCACGAGAGTTTCCCCAAGAGCAGCTCCCCGGCCTGCCTTACCTTCTGCTGCCTGGGAATTGGGACAGCATCCAGCGCCGCTGGCACACTGCTCCCGTAGGGAGGATACCAGCCCCTCCAGCTCCTCTAGTCTGCTCAGCAGATCCTTAATGTCTGGGGCAGCTGCACAGCCACAGGCCCGCCGGGGAATGTTAATCCGGTGCGTGAAGACGATCTGGTTCCCCTCGTTCACCGTGTGCTCCTCGGAATTCCTGACCGGCTCGATTTCCGCCTTCAGGTCCGCGTCACCGCTCGCCGCGTCCAGGTCCACGGAGCAGAGGGAGCCCATGGGCAGCTTGATGTTGTAGACGTGGTTAAAAACCACGGGCTGGTTGTCCTCCGGCAGGGTCACGTTGAGCCCGGTCTCCCGCTTGTGCCGGATGATTCTCTTGATGAGCCCCCCCCTGACGTGCTGGCACAGCAGAGCGAGGATGGCACAGGCCAAAACCCGGCTGGGCAGTGCCATGGCGCTGCTCGGGTCCTGTTTCCAGCTGGGAGAGTCTTATGTCTGTTTGGCCTTTGTAATCTGGAGCAGAAATTGGAGAGCCACTTCAAGCCAAGCTGGGTATCCTTTTCTTTGCTGGCACACTTGGTCCCTAAAAGAAGAAGGAAGAGTGTAAGGGGTGAACCACAGCTACACCACCCAACCTGTGACACTGCTCATGTGCTGCACCCTTGGAGAACAGGGCTGAGGTGCTGTCCAGAGTACCACCCAAGCTCCCCAAAGCTGCTGAGCTTGCTCTTATATATAATAACAGCAGTTTATATATAGTAACCTGGTTTTCCAGCATCTCAGTGTGGTTGTGAACAAAACATCACCAGACATGGAGAAAACTACTGTTATATCAGGTTTAGAACATATTGAGTGGATTACAGAAGGTTTAACTGCCTCAAGCAGAAGACCAAGGTGAAGAAGCCTGCTGAGCCTCATCTCCATTCAAAATACTACTGTCAGACTGTGGTAGGTAAAATAAATATATGTTCTGTTAAGATACAACTGATGACAAATCCTGCATTTGTTTCACCCATCAGTTCACTGCTTGAAGGCTGCTGGAGGCTGGATCATGTAAGAAACTCAAGTCGTTGTCAAAAGGTTTATCAACACCACAAAGCTCATTCCATCCCTTTTTAATGTGCTTTAAAGACAGCAATTGCTTGGGAATCTGAACTCCAGGCCTTGTAGCCCAATAATAACTTTTGCTGTCCTGATTATTTATGTACAGCATGAAGGCAAATGGATCTCTCTGGAGAGCTCTGCAGGCTGAAGGTTCTGGTGTCAGTGTTGTATCACAGCAACGTTTTAGCAGACAGGTAGTGAGACATAAGAAGAAGAGACTCCACCAAGGGAGACACACAACAGAAACAGCAATAAAAATGCATGTGTGGAAATGTCTTTTCAGCAGCCAACACACCTTTTCTCTAGGCAACATTTCCCACTGTCTGATCTTTCCTCAGCTGTACCACAACCTGCTTATGGTCACAAGCTGGCTGGGCTGTACAGCTCTTCCTGAAACCCATTCCTTTCATTAGCTTCAATCTTTCCTCTTCCTCCTCAGCCTGTACGTGTTCCTTTTAAATGGAATGAGCCAAGGGAGCAGAAATACAGCCACTGACTTCCATGCAGGATCAGTCCTTCAGCACGTAGAGCGAGAACCCCGAGCAGCAAACGGACTGACTGAACAAGCACACCTAATAAATGTCATCCCAGCATTTGTTTTCCTTCCTATTCCCAGCAAAACTTGGTTAAATGGTCAGGCCAGTGACTGTAAGGTAGTGAAATGCCAGTAATGGGGGAAACAGCAGTTTATTCTCTATACAGCCCTGATTTGATGATAATTCATTTGTCAGATGAGAGACCAGCTTCTCCCACCCTTCTGCTTCCTCCAAAGCATAGAGATCATTTTTCCCATGCTGCCCCAGCTGCTTTTGTGGGAGAATGACAACAATACATCAGACACTTCACTGAAATCGGTGTTTTTTGTAGACAGTGCTGAGCTCACAAAAAGCAAACTTCACCCCTTTTTACTGGGGAATAAATCAGAAGTAAACAAGCAGCAGGGAAGGCTTTTTTCTTGTCATGGAAAAGTATTCAGCTTTAAGCTATTTCTAACACTTACCCCATTTGCTCAGATATGTCTGCAAGCCCTGTCTGCACCAGAAGAGATCACAAGGTTGTTAATAAAGAATAATAGAGACAGACATGGCCCAGGTCTCGTTTGCGACTCAGGCCAATCTCTAAATTGGGTTGCCAGCTCATGAAATATGTTCAGGGCTATATTTGAAGTGGGATTTTATTCTCAAATGCTCCCACTTGGGGTTTGCAGATTGATTGCCATGAAATGGGATTCCATGAGCTCAAGACAAGGTCATAGAGCAAAAATGGTCATACAGCCTAACCCCCGAGCAGGGGACAGGCTGCTTGGCAGATGGATCACCAGTGGAAAGTGGAACAAACTGGAAGCAGCTCTGCATCTAATTCTCACTGAATTTTAGTGAGAGTTGAGCATCGATTTCCTTATGGCTTTTGTAAATCCCAACCTACAAGAATATGGGCCTTGCCCAAACCAAGAAAATGGATTGCACTTTTTCCTGCTGACCGGTGTGTTTACAGATCACTTAATGGTGGCACAAACTGTTATTTCAGCCTGGAAAATGAAGAAACTGCTTCATGCAAGTCATGCCCTGCCACTGTTACCTTTGCTACTGATGAAAGCCACAGGAACACCAGGATTTTTCCTGGATACTCCCTACATTAGAAACAGCCAAACCTCTCAGCTTACAGATGATACTGGAAGAATTAATGTCTCTTGGCTGACATCCTTTTGGAGTTTATGAAGAAGCATTGTGGTGGTCTAGAGGCAGCATTCATGTCTGCCCTGTGACCCCTGTGTTGTGACACCTCCTGTGATGTCTGAGCTAATCCATCCAGATCAGGTGTTTCTCATCTGACCTGCCAAGGACCCAGCAGGATCAGCTGAGCTCCGCTCCTGGATCTGACATCTACAAAACAAGACAGCTTCAGGCAATTATTTATACATTAGCCATAATTTTGGCTGGAAGAACAAAGATGACAACCTTCTTTCCAACCCCAATTCCTCAAACAACATCTAAACAACAGCTCAGGCCACAATGGACCACCCTGGAGCAGGTCCTGGAGAGAAATGGAAGCCACAGCAACTGTCAGGCTCTGTTATTCCTTCATTTTCCCTCACCTTCCTTTCAGAACAGCCCATGTAGATTGTATTTTAAACCTCTCTATATTTTCTTTGTAGACATCAGCTGCTGGATAATTTACAGGCACATAAAAGCCTTTGAGCAAGGGTTTGCAAAAGATGACCCTTCTCAGCCTGAGTTTGGCCTTGTAGGATATCAGAGGAGCTGGGTGAGGTCTGTACCACATCTCTCAGGTATGTTGAGAGGTTTGGATGACCAGGAATGTGTCAATTTTTTACAGGCAGTTTGTCTAAGACAGGATATTACTCATCCTAATGATCTGTGCCCCTCCTGCCACCCTGACTACAACCCAACTGCTTCAAAAAGCTTGGCAGTGACTGTGTGGTTGGTCTGCAAAATGTTCAGCTTGTCATGCAGAACAATAAAGTCTCGAGCTCATGTTCTCCCCATCTGGTCATTGGCATCTCCCCACAGCCATCACCCTCCTTGGGCAACACTTCTCTCTTGCTCTCTCCTGCTCCCTGAGGCACAACCACAATATAAAGAAGAACAAAAGGTGCTGTGGCCTCTCACACATCTGAGATTTCCTGACTTCCTGCAGGGCTGAATTTTGCAGTCCTGTCACTTGATAGTTGCTTATGGGCACCAGGTAAAAAAAAATAGACCCCAGAGTGTATCTCTTGGATGCACCAGTTGACATTGTAAGAGTACTTTCAAGTTCTACTTCTTTTTTTTTTTTTTTTTTTTTTAATTAAAATTAAAATTACATTTTAAATCTTCTTCAGAGCACACAAACCTAAGGAGTGATATATCTGACACAGATGCTCAGGACAGAGGTGTCAGGCTCTCCCTGATAAATATTTCCATATCAATGTGACATGGAAAGAGGATGTTTGGCAATGGCTCAGCCACTGAGGTATTGGAAGTTTGGAAGCTCTGCAGGGAGAGCTGGGTTCAAGTTCAAGTCAGAAAAGTATGAAGATAACACACATATTTTCATTGCAGTCTCCTCTCAGTCCTGGCTGGCTCAGAGTATGTTATTCTTCAATTTAGACTTTCTTTGGACTATTAAAAATTAGATACTTTGAATTGAGAAGCAAATCATGGCATCCCTGCAGCAGATGGGGCAGAAGGAGACTCAGGTAAAAAAAATTTCCTTGTATAGACACTAAATGCAAAAGTGAGATGTAACCAAAGAGAAGGAAAAGACTATTTCAGGAAAACTCTCCTTAAAAACTTGATCAGTGGCTAGTAATACTCTTAATAATAAGTGGTGGGAATAAGATGGCCTGTCAATAGCACAAAGGGAAGGAATAATTTTCATTTCCACTACAGCCCTTTCATCTGAGGATCTGAAAACATGTCAGAGTCTGGCTGTCAGAAGCTGCAAAAATGTTATTAAAAAGGGTTATTTCTTTGTTCAGACATTCCCCCTTCCCCTCGGCCTCCCCCTGGCATCAGAACTTTTTAAAGACCTTCCCATTTAATTTGAAATTTGTTTCTTAATAGGAAATTTTTAATCAATCCTAAAAAAAAAAAAACAACTCCAGTAATTCTGACTCCTGGGGAATACTAAGGAAAGGTAATGTGTGAATATTTTCCTTCCCTGAAGACATATTTACTGGAAACCAGCAGGTGTGAGAAACTAAATTAACGTCTGCATAGCTGAGAGTCCTGGTGTAGCACTTTAGTCTGTCCTGAATATTGAGGAGTGGCAGAGCTGGGAGATGATTTCTGGGTATGTGGAGTGATAAATATGCAGATGAGAGCCCTGTGCAATTTTAATCAAAACAGATTGCAGCAATGAAGAAATGGAGGTGTTAAAGAGGATCTCAGCTGTCCTTCTCAAACGAGGCAGAAGGCTGATTAGATTTGCTCAGACAGCCTCTACATGTCAGGACTTGGAAATTAGACTAAAAAGAGAGAGAAAAAAAGGAAACAATTCTTCTCTAAGCAGATACTTCCAACATTACAGCAGGAGGGGATCAAATATTGTCAGCACATATTGGATTCGAGCACATCTTGTGTAAAGTCTGCATAAAATAGCAACGGGCTGGATTGTGACAGAGAGGAAAACTCAGCTGGAGAAGAGCCAGGGCCCTCCCTGGAGAACACAACGAGGAGCACTTTGAGGTTTCTGAATTGCTGCCCCCAAAATAGTTTTCTGTGATCTGGTAACTGAAGGAACTTCAGAGTTTCCACCAAGGCCTGATCTGCCCATCTGCTCCCTCCAGCCTGGGGAGCCCAGCAAGGCACGTGGTCGTGGTATCACAGCCCTCCTCTCTTTATCCCCTGCCATACACACAAAAGGGCCACAGCAGGGATGAGATCTGACCTGGAATACTCTCTCCCTGCAGAATTGGTGCATTTGCTACAAGGAATACAAGCAGTGCCGTTACACAGGATTAATAAGTTAAAACCG